GACACAATAATAATAACATTAATGCCTATTACGCATACGCCATGATGTTTGCCAAAATGTAATCAACGAGTATTGAATTATGCTGCAAAATATTTTCATTTGCTTAATGCCTTTTAAGCGGCTTATAAAGATGCGGCCATACACCCACACACTCACACACACACACATCTCTAAGACGTTTAAATGTGTGTACATATGTCTGTGTGTGTGATATTTCTATACACCTGAGTACACATGAATGATTTCTTTGTGGAGCGAACTCAAAGCACAACTCAATTTTATGTGGCAAGCATGCAATAGAAGCTGAGCGGCAACAACAACAATGTGACAATAACAACAATAATAACATTGGCGCCCCCAAAACATTATTGGTATATACAATTTCAATTGATTTTCCTTCAATTTCATTTCACAGCCTTGGTTGAGATGAAATACATAAATGTGCTCACAGATACATAAACATATACTTAGTATATATAGTATGTGTACACATAAGAGATATATAAATATGTATAAGTGTGTATGTCTGTTCGACAATAACATGAAACGTGCGTTAACATGATGAATTATTATTATTTTCGTGTAAGCAACAGTGCCCAGAATTTTCGTTACGCATACGCACAGTAGGCCACAGAACGAGAGACCCTGTCAGCATGTTTGCCAGTTAGCCCAACCACAATCATCCATCATGCCCTAAACAAGATGGACAGCAAGAATAGCAACAAAAACAACAACAGCACCAACTAGGAGAGAAAAAACAATAACAATAGGGAACACATTGAACTAATTTGTAGTTGGTTTGTATGCCTGATTCTTTTTATTTATTTTTTTGCTCTCCTGCTCAGCTCGCTTTGACATCGATATGCGCGATATGTTTATATAGGCTTTCAATGTACATAAGTATTGTATGAAAATTGTATACTTTATTGTTTGTTGTCGGTCCAACACAAAATAAACGCTACTATTATTTATGCAGCTCCATTATTTAACTTACTAGAGTAATCTATCAACTTTTAAAGTTGAGAAACTTTAACTTATAATAATAATAATAATAGCAACTATAACTTCGATCCCTGGGGCCTAAAAGCTTTCAACAATGGCGCTGTTCATGCAGCATAAGATAAATAAAAACAAACGCCATTCTTCGTTTTCCATTGTATTGAGTTCATATTTCTATTCAATTTTAGTTCAATAGTTTGCTCATTTTTGTGAATGGCTGGGGACTGAAATTGGACGTTGTTGCAATTAATAATGTAAGCAGACAAGCAATCAGTTGAACCTTTCAATCGAAAATGAACATAACAAACTTTTAACTATGAAAGTTATAAAATATTCGGCTTTTTGTTAAAGTTTGCAAAGAAAATTTTGAAATGTCAATAATATTATGTTTTTTCATGAACTGCAAGTTCATAGAAACCTGCTTTGACCTTAACATTTATTTTAATTTTCTTTGAAATGGGAAATGGCTAAATATCTGCCGAAAGGACCAAAGTATATTGGTGGTCGGTCTTTAAGTTGCTCTATTTAATTAATATTTGAGTTGGTATTCAGTTGGAATTGTATATAAAATATAAAATAATATAAAAATGTAAAGATATTTCAGAAAGCTCGAGAGCAATTAAAAGTAATACGTGCATGTGAATTCCATAATATTGAGAAGGAATCAGTTTTTATGTTCTAACAGCTGCAGATATTAAAGTTAAATACTGACACTTACCCTAACTTATGGCCTAATACTATCAATCCGTAAATGCTTGGATGGATGATTCCACAAACACATTTCAATTAAAACCAATGAAGACTCATTTTGTGGTACAAGGAGTGTTAGGATATACGTATACGTATTTCTGTAAAACTGTACAATAGCAGATGTATACTAAGAAAGAAATTATATTGCTGTATAGCATATACTTGTATATATAGCATTTGCAAAACGAAAAGAGAAACATAAAGATATGAGGCGCAGTAATAGTTGGGATTTCATACAACCATTATAATATTTTTGCATATTTATTGTGGCAGTTTCATAATTATATTCCGTTTATTTTCGACTGCTTTCGCTTCTTTACTAGGCTTACAATTATCAACTCAATCGCCATGTCCATAGTGAGCTAAACTACAACTTTAATTCATGTATCCCACTCAGGGTCTCTTGCTACAGGGATAATTAAATTCTCAAAAGATTGCGATCCAAAAATAAATACTTAGGGGTACTTCTCTATTTTTTTTTAAGATGTAGAAGTTTTCTTCCTCTTAATTCCTCAACCGAAAAATAAGGCATCCCTTTAAAAAGTGCTCTTTTCTGTGCTTTCTAATTAATTACTTGATTACTAAAAATTGGGAGCCAGTCATTCAAATTATTACTATTTCTTAGCATTAGTCTAAATCGATTTACTTTTTTCAAAATACCTTCGGAAATTCCGACAAAATCGATACCATCATGTAATTGCGTGTACCTTTCCCGAATACATATGTATAGTATACTCGTAATTTATGTCGAATAAATAGTAGCATTACAATATTAGAATAAACGAAGATGAGAGCCATTACAAGTCACTTGAAATCGCTTACACACGCAATTTAAGTTTATAAGTAAGGCATGGCGAGCGAATTATAGCAAATGGCGTAATGGCCATAAAAACTTTTGCTACCATGAAACTAAAAATAGGATAAAGAACACGAATAAAACATAAAAAAGTGGAAGCAGTTCCAGGTACGAGCTGCGCTACACTAAAACTTTTATGATGAATATTTGCAATGGCCACTGAAGCAGCGTCCTTCAATGACAAGCGACTGTGTGCGTGTGTGTGTGTGTGTATTTGTGGCTAGGAAGCAGGACATCACATAAATATATATTATCCGTGGCATATAAAAAAATAAAAATGGATGGCTAAAACAAAAGTGAAAAGAACAACTCAAATAGAAAAACCCAGCAAGGCGCAGATCCGCAATGCGCGACTGTCAATACAAAGCGAACAATTAGATAACGCTGTCGAGGATAAAGGGGCCGGAGTATGAATGGATGCGGCTGACTAACTGGCTGACAATGGCACAATTGTAATCGACATTAGGCGGCAGGCAACAGACGACTGGTGGCCAGCACCAAAGCGTGGCATCGTTCTGAATCAACTTGTTGAAAATCCAAGGATAGACGAGTATTCAATCCATGGTGGGGTCGTTTCAGCTGGTGTGTGGGGGGGGGGGATGCTTCTTCGTTCTTTTCTCATTTGTTTTTATTTCTTTAATTTTCTCATTTCAAACATATTTGAAGAGCTTGCCGAAGGCATCATGAGGGAGGTACGAAAAGAATCCTTGGCAACAATTAAAAATGCGCTACGTGCAACGTCGCACAACAATGCGCTAAGAATTTCAGATAAGTTTGTGGCTTTGAAATATTCTGTTGTGGGTGTCCGTCTAACCGTAAGTGTGTGTATAAAGGCTTAGCAAACTTCACGGAACAAATACAAATTAGTTGATTTTTATATACTGTAGCCAATGGGGAAAAGATATGTACTAACTCACAGAAACCTCTTTCTGTCTGTCGGCACAGACCATAGACGAGAAAGTATATATACGGGAATATGCCTAACCAGTATAACAAGAAGAGTCGATATAACCATATCCATTCGTCCATTTATGTGAACACAAGCATACGAAAAGTATAAGAGCTAGAATAACCAAGAAAGCCTTAATCTGCGAAGCACACATAAGCCCTACCATCCATTTTTCATTCAATTGTAATTTTTATTTATTTATTTTTTCTGCATTTAGGAAGGCCACCTTCGAGTAATGCAATCACATCATTCAATCAATGGATTTCCAAATCCATCATATCATATTATTTATTTGTGTCCATCAACAAGAACTCTCGACGTAAAATTTCAATGTGAAAGCTCTATAATTTAAGGAAGATTAGTAATCGATACAGACGAAGTATAATAATAAAACGAATAAATATAATACAGCTCAAGCTAAGAATTACTTATTATCACATATTCAAATAATTTAATTCAATAAAAACAACAACAAAGTTTATTAGATATTTTACAAAAATCTAAAAATTACATATTTTAGAACACACACATCCTTACACCTTTCTTTTTGCTATGAGTTACTAAAATAAAAGTGAAATTAAAAACATAGTTTGTTTGTTATTATATTAATGATTGTTTTGGTTTTTTTTTAGATGTTTTTGTTATTCTTTATTGAGTCAGAACATCTCTGTGAACGATATTTGATGTTATTTTATTTAATGGCAGCCAAATAAATTGATGTTCAGGAGCTCCGACCCGCGATAGAACATTTAGTTGGCCATGAGTAAAACATTCCTAGTTAACGCGAAAGACTTTTTTTTACCGGAAATAGAAGCCGTTTAATTGGGATTTACAGATCAGTTGGGATCATCGGTATCCTCTGTATTAGAGCTAGTTAGCCAGCTCCTGGGTCGTTGATAATGGTTAAATTGTCCTTAATTAAGACTTAAATTGTCCTGCAATTCCTTAATAAGCATCATCATTGCACATTCTCATAAGGCTTTAATTTCCCAAAAGCATGATTGGAATTCCGATTTTTAGCTTCAATTCATGTGGCCGCAGTCCAGAAGGACTAAGAGAATTAAAAAATTCCTGTGGGTGTCGATCCATTCATCTGGGTAACTTGAATAATATTGCCTTAATATAGGAAGTGACATTATATTTCGAGGAGGATTCTGAATTATATAGGCATTGTACACCTTGGGCTACATTATTGGCGTTTTAGTAAGGATCCCTGTCTTTTTTGGAAATATAATATAGCCTATGTTAACCAGGGATAGTGTAGCTTCCCAACAGTGAAAGAATCCTTTAAGTCAGAGGCTTTTTTAAACCAAATAAACAAACAAACAAGCAAGCAATCAAATCTTTCCTCTTTATAATATTAGTAAAGATATTGTTTCATATAAATATTTTTATTAGAATGAAAATTGTTAACTTACTTTTGGTCTCTGTTTTCTGTTCTTTCAGAAATAATGTTGACATAGAGATGGCCAAAATTTCACGACGCGTCTCGTCGTCTGCAGCAACGCCGTCAACAGCAACAACAACAACAACAACAGCAACTACAAGCCAGCAATCTTATCAATCATTAGAGAGAACATCAGCCAACAGCCATAGCCAAAATTATGCTCGAGAAGGACACGTTGAGGATGCCGTCGTTGCAACCAAGCACAGTCAATCAAGAATCACCCGCGCCTTGGCCACCACGCCACACAATCATGGACATAGCATTGAGGATAGCCGAAGTGCAGCTGCTCTACGGCTTGCTGGTCATTCTGCTCCTGGTGGTGGCCGCGAGTCGCGATCAGCGTCAACGTCTGCATCATCGACACCGGCGACGTTCAGCCGAGCCAACTATTCCACTGCCGCTTTCAACGAGACACGCAGTGTGTCCACTGGAGGTGCCATCGCCGCTTCCACAGCAATGCCGTACGTGCCGCTGCCCACTGATCCGCACAATCTGACTGAGGCCGAGTATGCCGCCGAGCGTGCGCGCATACGGGAGGAATTCTTTGCCACCTACGATGTTATGACGGGCGTGCGCATTGCAGCCACTCTAGGCGGATTCTTCGGCCTGATGGTCTTCCTGATTGTGTGGAAGAGTCGAAGCAGTTCCAATGAGACCATGAAGGTCCTAAAGGATCCCAAGATGGCCGCTGTGGCCGCCGTTTGCATGCAGGAGGAGGAGGAGCGTGAGATACAAGAGGCGATTGTCGCCACCGGTATGTCCATCTATCCGGATGAGTACGACGCTCTGGTTTATAGGCGACAACGAATGCTCTCGCTGGGCAATGTAAGTGCACCGCCAATGCTGCATCGCGGCTACCGTTGCTCTTCCATGGGTAAGTGAGCTCTAATAATTGTAGGTTCTCCCACCCCCATTATTAGTGTCCTATTACATTCGACTTATCGCTTAATTACTGATTTTAATCTTTAGTTGCTGGTTGCACCACCGGCGCCGGCTACAGTTATTTGCTGGAGCCACCGCGTCGCTTCTCCTACTCGGCCATCTCGGCTGGTGGTGGCAGTAGTCATATAGGCGTTGGTCGTCGCAAAAGCGGTTCAGAATCGTCTCGCATCTTCAGCAATTATCCAATGGGCGGCAGCTTTGGCACCGATGACTACTTTGTGGAAACAGAGGACGAGATGGACCATGAGCCGTATATGCAGCGGGATGGAACGCTGCAAGAGTTGGACGAGGAGGCCCAAACGCACAAACGATCGGATTCGACGCGCAGCAAACAAGGGTTTCTATCCGTGCCACTAGCGGTGGGTATTGTATATACAATCTGGTAAATAGAATCAATTATCACGAGGTTTTGCGAAGCCACTTTAGACAGCAAAGGTGGACTTAATCGTATTATTTATTTACATTATTGTAGGAAGGTGCGATCAAGGTCAAGAGTAGACCCAGGGCTCACTTAGGTCACCGTTTGGCCCATTGTGATTACATTATTGTACTCTTTATTTTGAATTAATCAGGGACCGCCAAAAACGTTTATTTTATTCACTTGTAAGTAGTAGCTTTGAGAAAACGAGGACTATCCCAATATCCTATTTTTAGGATTATGTATGCATATTCTCCATTATTTAAATAGCTAAATTTGTATTCGTTCTCTTTCAATATGAAGATTAATTTTAAGTTATACTACTTTAAATAAAATAAAACTCAAGTTGTAATTCCCTACTATTTTCATAGGGAATATGGGAAAAATTTATATATATCCTTAAACAGCAAGTCCCCCTATAGTACAAAGATAAATATCCTTTAAAAAATATATTCAGGCAAAATTACACCTTGAGTTTTACCTTTGATCTAAATAAATAAAACTAAAAATATTCATTATTTTATGAGTTTTATTTTTTTGCTTAAAAAGAATAAATATTGGTTGAGTTGTAAAGTATAACTCAAGATTAAGCATTATGTTGTAAGAGAATGAATAAAATTTTAAAATGATTATATTTTATAATAATAGCACAATGATAACAGTCCTTGGAACTAACGCTATATTGCAATGTTAAATTATAGCCAGAGCAACTAAGGCCTTCTTCAGGCTGAATTTAATCGTATTACATTTAACAATTAAGGAGAAAAACCGAACTTGTCAAGGGAACTTGTTTTTAGATTAGAAGAATTCCCTTGTTCGGCGCAGTGTAAGCAAAGTCATCCCCATCGAATTAAATTTAAATTTGTAACATAAACTCATAACACATTATTGTTTGCCGTTTGCAATAAAAGTCGTTGCAACATAACATAATTGTAATAACATTCGGCTGCGTTTGCAGCGCTCTCTAGCTGTAATTAACATTGCTCTCATTGCAGCAGCTGATCTGCAAATGCAGCTGCAGTGTTAGGGCTTTGCGTTCGTCAAAGGCTTTACTTGAAAGTGTGCTCAGCCGCGCTGTTCAGTTTTGTTGCGATCTAGCATTTGCGTCTACAGAGCTCTCTTTCTGTAATTAACATTGTAATTTCGCAGCGCTTTTCCTCTTATTGCAAATGCAGCTGCAGTGTTAGGGCTTTCCGCTCGTCAAAGGCTAGACTTGAAAGGGTGCCCAGCCGCACTGTTCAGTTTTGTAGCGATCTAGCATTTGCGTCTACAGCGCTCTCTTTCTGTAATTAACATTGTAATTTAGCAGCGCTTTTCCTCTTATTGCAAATGCAGCTGCAGTGTTAGGGCTTTGCGCTCGTCAAAGGCTAGACTTGAAAGGGGTGCCCAGCCGCGCTGTTCAGGACTAACTCGATCTCGCTGTTTTTGTTGTTTTTTGGCGAAGCAAGACAGTCGGCCAGAGGCACAGCCAAGGCGTACGCTGAGGGGCAGGGGAGTGCCGTGCATTATTGAATCAAAATTTTAATATTTTGGCCCCTCCCCCTTAGCGAAAGGCTGCGTACGCCCTTAGTCATAGCCATAATATAGTAGTTGCCAGTAGAGATTAATAATAAATAGATTTTATTTACCAATTGTGGAAAGCAAAAAATGACAACGGTCGGTGCAGATATATTAAGATTTTGATTAAGTAAGCTTTAAAGCATTAGGTCTAATCTACACAGCCACTGATGTAACAATGAAACGAATAAACCAAGTCTACTCTCATCCTTTTTTGTTTGCAGGGTCACGACTCTCGACGCAGCAGCGCAATGACCTGTTGCAGCACAGACAGCTCCTATCTTGAGCGCCGCACCTCTGCTTACACACTGGGCATGAGCAACTTGCCGCCAACTCTGCAGCGTAAGCTTTCGACTGCGTCGCGCACATCGAGCATAGAGAACTGGGACTACTACTATCCGGACATTCAGGTGATACAGCCCACGCCCAAGGCGTCTCCTTGTCCCTCGGAACGCAGCATTCACGAGCCAGCCTCCAAGTCCAAGGTGCCTGCAGCTCCAGCCAATGCTTCAGTTGGTTCCTGTGGCTTAAGTGCTCCCACAATTGTTCCCAAGCACAGTATTGTCTCGTACGACCCAGATAGCGCTCAGGCCGGGCGCAAACAGCAGATTCACTCCATCAGTGCTGACACAGTAGACGTGTATCCATACAATCAGGCTCTTGTTGGCGCTGGAAGCATCTTGGACCTAGGCCTGCCATTGCCCAAGCCCATACAATCGGCGCCTCCAACGAGTGCCCATCAACAAGCGTTTCATTTCTCCGACTCACCCTCGGACGAACTACGTCTGGGTGTGCGTCGCAAATTGACGGTTGTGGAGCTGCAGCGTTCAGCTGCTCCAGCTCCCGAAAGCAACAACAATAGCTTTCCCTATACCACCAATGCAACCACAGCGGCAGCATCTGCGACAACTGCAACTGCAACAGCAACGACAGCAACGGCGATGACTATGGCGGCCAACTCCAGCAGCATTAGCATTGACAGTACACCCATGAGCATGGACAAGCTGAATGGCAGCGTCAGTCTGGGGACCGTTTCGGCCAAGGCACTTTTCAATGCCGAGAAGCGTGCGCCGCTCGCCTCACTTAGTTCCTTTAAGATCTCTTCGCTCGATTATCAAGACTCTGAGCTGCGTTCCCTGGACGAGGATTCGGTTTTTGGAGTGGAAAGTAACGCCGATACGGACGACGACATGCAGCAGCTGAGCAGTGATAGCGAGGAACAGGCTCTACAGGCAGCGGCTGCTGCAACGGCAGCTGCAAATGCCATAGTGGAGAAGGTGACTTCTGCAGACCCACAGCAGAAGCTGCCGCAGCAGCCAGTGCTGGCACCATTAGTACTTCATCATCCCAGTGAGAAACGCTTGAGTCTGAGCACAATGCCAACGGGCGTGCGTCCTAGGCGGCCGCTCCTGCAACGCCATCGCACCATCAGCGCTTCTTCGAGTGATCGCATCCAGCTGCTGGGCCAACCACTACATGAATTTCAATCGGCTGGCGCAGCCAATCAGGCCTTAGCAGTGGCGCCACTGGAAACCCATTTTGGGGCAATCATCTGCACCGGCAATAGTCCGCCAACATCGGCGCAACCACGACGCGCGCATCTCCTCCAGCAATACAGCGATCCACAGAGCTTGCCAACAACAACGACGACAACCACCACAACTACCACGGAGGAGGACACGTGCTCCACTCTGAACACGGAGGTGGGATTGCTGGATGCAGTCGGTGGTGGTAGTGGCGGCAATCCAGGTGGCAGCGGGGAGTCTGCCACTCAGACACAGTACAGCAGCCTCAACACGGTCATTAGTCTAGGTCGTTCCAGTCCCCTGACGGACAATAATTTTTTGTGTTCCAGTGGCTCAGCCACAAACGTCAATAACATCAACAACAACAATACGCAGGTGCCGCAGCCACCCATACAAACGCATGCCACACAACTGCCACTTAGCAAACCTGCTCACGACCCATGTGCGTCCTCCATATCGGATTCGGTGGTCACCACACGCCCCCAGACAATCTGCATGCCGTCCTCACTGAAGGAGCTTATATTAAGGGGTGGCGGTGGTCCGGTTGGTGCTCAGGGTTTTGCATTAAGCGGTGTCAGCAGAAGTGCCACGAATCTCAATGTCCTCTGCACAGCCACTGGCAGCGATGAAGGGCGTCTTGTACCCACAGCAACGCCTGCCGTGATGCTGGAACTGCCGCTGATAAAGCTGCCCACTGAGGAGGATGATACCGATGATGATGACCGGGCCTTGGAGGATGGGGACCATAACGATAGCGACGGACTAGCTTCCCAAGGCAATCGCAGTAAGAGTGAGGAGTCCCATGATCCCAGCTTGCCCAGCACTTCGAGAAAATGGTCCAAGGAGACGCTCTTCTAGCCAACCTTGTTCAGGCTGCTCAGTAGTCCTGGGCATGGAACGAACTTGTGTGTTAGAGCTTAATAACTGACTGTTTACGTATTGTTGTCAATGGTGACGATAAGGATTGATCCGGGTTTGGATTTTTTTGCGCCCTGGTTGTTGTTAGTTAAGACATCAGCTCATTATTTGGCAACGAGATGTAAACTACAAAACGTGTATTGCAGAATATATGGATATGTGCACCTACAAACATGTATATATCGAGTTATATGCATAGGTACATTCATATACATATATAGATGATATACAACTTACTAGATAAATCGGTAGAGTTTAAGCGCATTTAGTGAAAACGAAAAGTTAGGCCAATAGTAAAGAGTTGCTTGCGAGATACATACATACTTACTTGTACACGTATATTTGAAGACATTACAACTTTTTTAAGAGGCAATTTCTTAAAACTCACTCCTCGTAGTAGTTGGCAAGTGAACAAGAACAAACAACGTATTCGTACTTAGAGACTGTTGTCTATTATTAATAGAACTCTAAAGTTAAGTATTGATACTCGGATTTATTTTTCACACTATCTCCAACCCAAGCAGAGCAAAGCGAATGTCAGCATCCAGCCGATATCAGACCCTTCAAAGAAAAACTATTGTAGTGTCTTAAATGTGCATATACATATATAGTATACTATATACAAAAACTACAGCCAAATACTAAAAGTATTACAACTTAGTAACAAAATAGATTGCACACACACAAATACAACATGACTTACAAATACATATGCATGTGTAGGTCAAAGCCCTCGATGTACTCTGACTTATACCTACACATTATTACATGCATGACAATTTTGTAAAATATTTGAAGAGTACTCTTAGTTTGTGCATTTCGAACTTTCATTTTACTCCTACATGGAGAATTTACAATTTTACAACTACTTGAATAGGGCTCGAAATTTCTTCTTTCTCTTTAAATATGTTTTTCAAAGAATTGCGCAATGAACTTTCGAATTTGCTTAACAATTTTGGTCTAGTCATAAATGCATTCAATAAGAACTATTAAGAGCCAGGTAATAAAAAAGGGGAAAACAAAAAATAATTGTTGAAAATTGCATAGAGTTGTTGTAAAAAATATATTGTTAAAAACTAAAATGGAGAATTACAAATTAAATTAAAGTATAGTATAAACAATTTCCTAACTCATCCCACCTACGCATCTCTATTTTTCTATGAAAATGCATTTGCTCCTCAAGCGAGAAAAGTATATAAATTAAAATATAAAAGTAACATATTTTTCAATAATAAGCAATTAATCGAAAAGAATTGGAGAATCCATGGAACGTGTAAAAATAGCGCTACATTTTGTCGTTTGTGCGGGTTCGGTGAAACCGATTTGAGACTTTCTTACATGCCTGAGTCTAATTTGTACCTATCCTGTGCATAAGTTTACAAAGCGTACCCCATTAACACAATTTTTTTAATACATTGTAGCTATTTTATACAATGGGAATACATATGTAACTCAAATGGCAAGTGTCTAGGAAATGGTGTAGCAAAACAAAAACAAAATAAATATAAACGAGTATATAGTTTAATTGTTGGTTATATGCTGAAGATCATAATGGTAAAAACGAAATCCTTGTAGAGTTGAATTTGTTTCGAATATACATAAATATATGAACTAAATAAATGTAGCTAAATATATTTAAAATAAAAATATAAAAAATATTAGTCATATAAGCCAACGAGTAGCGGAACCAATTGTTAAGCGTAAGCATTAAAAAAATAAAGAACATATAAGACAAAACAGAGCTGTTGTATTAAATGAACAATAACTAAAATCAAACACATATAAAGGCAAGTTCAACTAACTAAGTATAAAACGCATGAAGCATGGCATTTGTGCATTTCAAAAATATTAAATAGAGAATGAGATCAAATAGTCGAAATTTTCGTTAAGTTGCGCCGTTTTCTTTTATACTTTTGTACCAAAAACGATTTTGTGGACCTGGACGCCACTCACACTCAGTTTCGACTTGCTGACTTGCTTTCCACATACATGTACCTATAACTGAACTTAAATTACAGCATGATCGAATGAAAAGCAATTGGAAATAGTATAAATCAAGTTAAATTATTGTAAACATTACTTTAAAGCCAGAAATTGAACTAAAATAATATGAGCTATTACAAATTAAAAAGAAACGTAGTTAAATGTTATACATATAATGGCGAAATTGATGTAAATGTTAGAGATATTAATGAGAAATGTGACAAAGAGAAAATAAACAACAAGAAAATAAATACATATATTGAACAATTTATAACGATGGGCATTTTGGTTGAATCAGTGCGTTTAATAGTAAATTGGTATTTAAATTACGACTAGTTGATTGGCAAAAATCAGCTTAATATCTATATTTAGTGGAGTAGTCCTTCGGCGACACAACCAGACCGCGACCTTTACGCGCGCCTCTATACACCGTTTCCACAATATCGATCATCTCTTGTTTGTCCTCCAATGGCCAATTGATTTTGTTGTTATTGCCGGTGCCCAAATCAATCATGATGTGTTTATTGCGGAAGAAGAACATGACTGTGCACGGATCATACAATTCGTACATTTTATTAAAGTCCGGCACTTCCGTAATGTCCACCAAATAAATGACGGCAAAGTTTTTCACCTTCTCGGCAATGCTGTACATGACCTCGTCCATTTTCATACAAGCCGGGTCCCAATCGTGGCCAAAACGTATTACCTAGAAAAGTTAGTAAAATTTAATCGCTGGTTGGTTTCAGTTTTACGTCGGGCTGGATTACTACTTACGACCACACGATCCTCTTCCGACAGTATTGCCTGGTCCACCTGCCAGCCATTGTGTAAATGCGGTAGCATATAAGACATCTTGGCGAATTGTTTATTTTATATATGTATGTATGTATGTATAAAAATAGGAAAACAGTGCACAAACGTTTGTTAGGCCGCCTGAAGATGTGGGGCTGTCAAAGTGATGTGTAAAGTCTGCAATCGAAAGCTATGACATATCGATACTAGTCGATGCTGACAGTGCTGCCAATTTTCACGCTACTTAACACATTATTTTCAAAAAATTATAATTTACCTGGAAACTTTCTAAATTGTAGATTTGTAATTATGACGAGTTGAATTTAATTCAATAGATAAATATATTAGTATATTGTTTATTTAATATAAAGTCTTTTATTCAGCGTAACGGTTTGTACACATATTTTGTTAGCGTATTAATTAGGTCAAGTATTTCTGCTTAAATTTATCTATATGCTCCAGAACTGTAACAGTCATATTATTGAGATATTCGTCGCGACTTCGCTGGGAATTATCGTCGAGTAGGCTGCGTCTTTGAACATAGTGGTTTGGCAAGTTGACCTTATGACGGCCAATAGATTTTATGATCAACCACAGGATGTAGAAACTGAACCACACCGTGAAATAGAGTGGAATGTACCATAGCTTGCGGCCAATGTAAAAGTAACTGTACTTTTTAACTCTTGGTTCTGGTGGTGGCGGTGGTGGAGATGGTGGTGGTGGCGGCGCCGTTGGCGGTGGTGGTGGTGGAGGTGGCGGCGGTGGTGGTGGATGTGGATGATGATGATGGTGGTGTGGATGGTCATCGTAAATTAACTCTGGATACGAGTCCTCGGTATAGTCGAAATGATGGTGGTCATGAAAACTGGGCGGATGGTCATGAAAGTGTTCTGGAATAACATCAGAAATGTGATCATCATGATGGTCATCGTGATAGTGTTCGTGATGATGATCGTGATCGTGGTCTTCCGGCTTTGGTGCAGCAGAGTCTGGATGGGCCTCGAGCCAACCAGGTGGCGGGGTGGGATATTCCATATTAGTATCATATTTCATATCATCGCCGCTAGGTGTCCCGCCGCTGTCTGGTAGTGCAGGTATGGGCAACTTATCACCAGTATCCCCATCAGCATCTCCTAAATCACTTCCGCCATCAGGGCCGTCACTACCTGTGCTGGCACCGCTATCGGCACTTCCCCCCACATCCTTAACGTCTTGAACATTGGCCGGTAAATTGTCCATTGCGCTGGCGGGCAAAACTCCAATCACATCGTCGTTACCAGGATCGTCATCAACTGGTGCTGCGGCAGCAGGGTTGTTAGCCGCCGAAGCTTTCTCCCCATCTGTCAAAGCAGGGCTAACTGGACCAGGATACTTATAGCCATTAGATTGCGGCATTGGCGGTCCAGGATACGAATAGCCAGCAGGGCTTAAAGGACCCGAAGCGGGAGGCAAATAGCTAGTGATGCTATTCGATGGCTGCGCCGCTTTAGGATCTTGCGATGGCGAGGGATATTTTGCATTGAGCGGAGGAAAAGAATAAAGATCCTTTGGAGGCACATACGATTGCACCACATTCGAACCGGCTGTCACTTTACCACTCGCTCCATGGTTGTGGTTGTGATGTGCCTTGAATTGTCCGGCTGCGACGCCCTCGCCAGGCGCGAAACGATCAGTGAACTTACCTAAACGGAGTGGTTATTAGAAAAAGAAATTTAGGTAATGTGCGTGTGTCTCACCCCGGCTGTAGCTCTGCTTATAACTCGGCTGCCTGGGGGAGTAATAAGCTGAACTGGACGAAGGTCTCGAATTGAACTGTTGTGGTCTTTTCGACTTCATGAGCGGCGTTAACAACTGGCCAAATGGATAACCGGTTCGATAGTCGACGGCGCGACCAGTGGCTGTAGCTTCCGATAGAGGTGTCGACTTGTCCTCCTCGTTTACATCCGGAGTCGGAACATTGCTTACGGGTGTAACAAATATGGGCCCTTCATTATCCATATCTGTTTCGGGTTCCGGCTGATGATTGTATGGAATGGGGGGCACAAGTGAAGACGGAGTCGACGTCGTGGTTGTGCCTTCTGTTGTGGATACCACATTTTCGCTCGAATTGAAGCTGTTCGGATAACAATTCACTTATAAAGTCGATTTAAATCTTAATATTAATTTGATTGAACTCACGTTCTTGGAAATATTAAGTCAGTGTTGAGCGCCTTGAAGATGCGAGGTCCTTGCTCCGCCGACCCATCACTCCCTCCATTGACTAGCACTTGGGAGTAGGCCTGCGCCGATTGCAAGAGCTCTCCACAGATCAGTACAGCACCCACACCCACAAAAAACGCCAACTTAGCACTGGCGCTAGGCATTATCTAATATTCCAGTTATGTATCAAGTATATCGCTAATTCAGGACACTTGATGTTTCCTTTTATTTGAATCACTTATTCACTGGAGCTATTATTCTTTTTTTTGCTACTCGCTCGTCATTTCCAACGGAGCTGCGACCGCGGCGCGTGAAATTTTCGAACCAACTAAAAAACTCATCCGAATGGATTTTCTTCTTATTGGTTCCTACAACGACTGTGCTGTCGTGATAGCATTGATTTCGTTTTTTCCATGACCCAGATTCTGAAGAAGGTGCTACTAAGAGTAGTCTACATATGCGCGTATCCACAGCACTTTCATTTTGGCAGCATCGAGGCAGGTGCTAATAAATTGTTATTCCACATTTCTCTGCTCATACGAGTGCTCGTACTATTCATATCTGCCGTTATGTTCTTAAGCTCAGTTCGTGTTTGCGGCCTGGATGGTTGAGAGCGTGTGCCTGCAATTTTGTAACCAATTAGTAAGCAATTACATAGTTGGTTTTAAAATGTGTACAGGAAGTTCGGGTTAAGGCCGAAAGCTCTGCAGCTTGCAGGAATTTCCATTTAAGCCACCCATTTATTCATGCATCGTAGAAACCAATGGCGAAGGTGATTCTTTAATTCCCTGCACATTCACGCACCCCGAAAGTGCTAATTGATGGTACTGCGCAGCCCAAATTAATACATTTCTAGTCTAAGATAAAGACATAAATATTTGTCAAGCAACTCGAACGGCTAGGCAAGGTTTAGTAGGTCAAGAAGTACATACCTACGATTAAGTTTGTAGATATTGTCGCATGGTCGTGTTGCAGCGTGTCTGCCTTGATTAACAACCTAAAGTAAGTAAAGCGTGCTATATGATGTAGACGCTGTCCATTATCACATCAAAATCCAACTGTATATTGTAGAGGAATAATATCCAAAGATTAGAGCCAGAGCTAGAACCCGAAACCAAACCTGTTCCACGTTAAATTGGTGCCATCTTGCACACTCGCATTCCTAATAGCTAATAACTTTTACTTATTTACACATCGTAAACAGTGGGTTTGTATATTTATATAGGTATATATATATTTTTTTTACCACAAATATAAGTACATATTTCATATAATAATTGCAAGTCTTTTAAATGTTAGTACATAATGTTGTTGCCATTAAAACAAAGAACACAGAATCGAACGTTTTAAAAACTAGAATAAACCACATTTATGTTGGTGTATACAAAATTCATCAGGCGTGATCGTAAATAATAAAAAATGTGTAAAAAGTAAGTTGTAAACAAAAGCGATTGACAAATTAACTTATTTACAGCCTTGGCACTAAGTACATATATGTAACTCTTATGTATGTCATATGTATTGAATAAGTACTCTTCTCCATCTTCAGTTTGGTATTCAAGTCGCGTGGTGTGCCTTGATCTCAAGAAATGCTTTAAAAGGGAGAATTCATGCCCAGCTTGGTTCCAAAGTCTAGGCGTGCACGTCTCTGATAGCGCGCATTTACCCTGCAAATGTTTAAAGATTCACATTTTAGTAAATTTAGACAAAAATAATTACGTATAAGGGTGTCATTACTTATTCTCCTGGTACTTGGCTAGCTCACACCCAGCTAGACTTAGTAAACTGCCACCAAATACGATAATAATGGCAATGTAAACCTCTGATAGATGCTTAAAAACGGATTCAGGCATAAGATCAAATAGACAGATGCAGAGATGTATGAGCAAAATTCCCAAACAGGTTAACGCCCAAATGCGGTTGCGAAAGGGATTACGCTGCCACAGCGAATGGTCCCGATGCACAAATGTTATGGAGACCAAAACTGTAAGAATACAAGGGGATACTAAAGATTAAGCATGTTGAACACCTCAAATAAATGTTCGGCTTTACCAAAGTGTAGCAATAAGCCCAGCAAAGAGCAGCTGCGTGCTATGTCTATAAATTTATACAATTTTGAATTATCTGGTGCACACAGACCATTTGTCTCGATCTTTTCCCCGAGAATTTGGTCAGAGAAGGATTGTGGTATGAACATCCAGTAGGCCACCAGCTGCGATTAGGAATATAATAATTTAGATTGTAAATAGAATGATAATGTATTGATTGTAACCCTTAATTGGCTTGATCCTCACCAATATCAGCACTGGGAGCAAAAATTTGCAGCCATAGCACCATAGAACAAAGGCGAATGCGCGCGAATCGTAGTCAGTCTGCTTCTTGCTGGTCGCGCGATTCATTATCTTCGGATCGACGTCGATATGCGCTAACGATATCGCAATCAATGGCACGGGCACGCACATCAGATAGATGACCACCAGAGGGGTGAGCAGCGGCGGCAGCGTGAGACATGCACAAAGCACATTTAATATGGATATGGCGCCCGCACAGCAGGCCCAATACTGTATACAGTTCCAGAGGCCCAACGAGAAGCGGCGTGAAAGCTCAATTATGGCCACCAGTGAAAGCGGGTCGTCGCGACAAACGGCAATCGAGCAGGGCAGCGAGTTAAGCAGGCGACTGAGATAAATGGGTGAAATGGTGTGGGCAGGCGACTGCATGGCACGCGCATCGGAAGAAAAGAGGCCGCTCTCGAGCAACTCCTGGCTGGCCCAGGTATCGTCAGGTGGTGCGGCAGTGGGGGGAATTTTGTCAGACTGCTGCATTCGTCGCTGTAGGTGCACCTTGTTGTTGTGTATGTTCTTTTCTGTAAAGGCGGCCACATCTTGGCACACCTGCGGATGCAGTGGTTCCACGGCTATGCTGCAGTCAGCCTGCAGAAAAATCTCTGCATTCGAGCTGTTCGCCGAGGAGCCGAGGCAAACGACAATCTCACCATAAGATTGCATAATATCCAGCATTTGGCGGGTCGCCTCTGCCGAGCAGTCCGTGAAGAGCGACACCTGAAGCGGCACATTATCGACCTGTTCCAGATGCGGGCGTATGTTCTCAATGCCTCGCGGCAACTTGGCCCGATTGGACATATCAAAATTAATAGGTGCACTTTGATCTGTGCTTTCGGTTAGCGTGCTCATCGAACGGCAGTTCTCGTCCATTGCCGAGTCAAGGGAGTGTCGCTGCTTATGGCGATCCGGATCTGGCTCGGCGGGTATTTTTATCTCGCCATTTTCATCGCGTGCAGTGTCGTTCTTATCGACTTCGTCAGAATCAATTCCATTGGATTCCCCGCTGCTTGGTGTCTCATTCAGGGCACTGCATTCGTCGGGATTGGAAATGGCTCCGGGAGCAGAGGAACTGAGTGTTTTTGACGACTCCAGGTTGTTGGGCGGACCCAGTAAATAGTTTAGGTCGGGCCCATCGCCAGCGCCACCAGCTTCGTCACCTACAAAATCGATATGATCGTGATCAGTTGGCTGATCTCCAGCCTTTACTTCCAGGGGCTGTATGTTCATGATTTTGGCACTTGAATTATGAATATTACTAGTGTTATCGAGATGATCGTTTGTATCGGTAATTGTGGTGGTGATTGTGGTTGTCGTGCAGGCAGTGGCTGTATTGATTGTTGAGGTTGTGTTCGGTTGTTGTTGTTGTTGTTTACCCGGACATTTTGGTGATTTGATGCCATCAGATGTTGTATCCTTGCCTTTAGCAGTCGCAATGCTATTCGTCTTCGTCTCCTCAGGTTCGCTGAGCAGCGATATGTGACAGTTCCACCCCGATTCAAGGCCCATTTTCTCTGAGAAAACACGCGAGCGCAGCTCGTTTTCCTTGCTGAAATGTACGAAGCGTATGCAGGCACGTTCCAGTCTCTCCACCAACCGCACAATATCGTTCTGGGCCTGGTACTGCATGGTTACCATGCCAATGAATACTTGATGGCATTGCATCTCAAAACAGCCCTCCACATCGTTGCAATCCTCGTCCTTGCTCTCCGAAAACAACAGCGAATCAGTGCTAATGCTGTGGCTCAGCTTCACATGATGACCCCCCTCGAAGTCGCAGTGTCTTTTATCCACGTGCTGCATGCGTAGCTTCGACTCAGGTGGCAACTCAAGATACGCTATCGGTCCGCCATTGTGCTGTGGATTTGGGCCACTTAGGGCCCCGTGTATACCATGGCGCAATGGTCGATATGCAAAGGCGGTGCAGTAGGAGGTCAAAGCGCTGCGTTGATAAAAATCCAAGGCTCGTTTCCGATCCTGCGGGGAGAGTGGACGTAAGTCCTTTCCATCCCAAAAGTCATCACAGCAGTCCAATATAATGTCCGCAGTACCTTGGGTGAATAGGGACAAGTAACCACCAGGATTTTCCCGCATCACTACCGAAAGAGAGTGTGGGAAAGGCACCTTCACCTTCGATGAAAGCTGCAGCTGGCGAGCAAAGCGAATATCACGCCGCACCACGTCCGGTTGCTAAAAACACAAATAAATACTACAAGACTAATATTTTGTTTATTTATGCTCACCAGATGCCGGTACGATGCAAGTTGTCCCTCCAAGGCGAAACGATCTGTCGCATGATCAGTGAAGCCAATCTGCTTGGCCAGTTCGCACAGACAGCGTCTGGTTAGAAATCGAAATAACCGATTAGTACTGCCTCGAACTGGAGGAGTGGACGAAGTGGTTGTGCGTGAGCATGCAGTCAGGCGTAGCGTTTGCGTGCGCGTAAGACTATGACTATATTTATGTGAACGATCTTCGCAACAAAAGTCTTGTTACTTAAAATAGCATGCCAATTACAAATTTAAAAATACAGGGTGCGTCACGCGTATTTGCTTAATGAATGGATAGTTGGATTTTACGAAAAGGACAGCGCAAGGAATGTTGTTTTAAATTTCTGAATTATTGAATTTTTTATTTTACATATACATATATGATCAGCATGACGAGGTGAATCGTTATGGACAGGTTTGTCTGTCAGTTAGTGCGAGCGTATAAATCGCGAGAGCTTTTTTACACTCCAACTTTGAAACCTATTCTTAAATTACTACGATATTAAATATGGTTTCGCTTAAATTTGGCAATCGTTCACGATCCTCGTTTCTCAATCATCGTACTGGGTACAGACATAAATAGGCATTTAATTAATAATAAGAGCGTACTCTTTTGTGTTGGTTATTTTGTTAGTAATACTTTACAATTATTGGTTACTTTTAAAAAATCGCACTATCAAAATCAAAATATTTTTCTTAAAGGCATAAGGATTGGTGACGCACCCTGTTTTAATGTTCAGTTAAAAGTGCATGGGCGGTGGACACAACAATTATTAGTTGCATATGTATATGAAAGATAACTATATACTATATAGACATATAACAAAGGAAATGCCAATAGCAATTTGCATGGGCGATGTCCTGGATGAAGACATGGATGTCATGAGTTAACAAAAAAAAAAAAAAAAACTCAAATGGAATTACTTTCAAGTTGATTTAAAATAATGATTCGTTATTTTTTTCACAACAAAAAACTTTTAATTGCTGCCTTATATGGTGAAGCTGCGCTTCCAATTGTTGAGAATTACTGAAAATCAAAATAAAAGATAATTTTTTTATAATTTCAAAATGTTTTACCAATAGCTTGTGTGCATGGAGTGTGGTAGGGATCGTCCAATTCGAGAGTCTTATTAAAAATCAAACAGGTACGGAAAAAACTCAACCAATTTCGCATTGGTTGCATATTCTTTGTAATATCTTTGGTAACATACATATGTATGTACTTATGTATACCGTTATTGGGCGAAATCATAAGACATTAGTCTAGATATTTATATACTCGTTTATAAGTTAATATGCAATTAAAGAAATGTTAACGATGAGTATGGCAATGAACTACGTACCCATGCAAAAAGCTTTTCATACTGGATTCAATAATCGCATACCGATTTGTCACGGGTACAAGGTCTTTATCAAGCATGGCTACAGCCGTAACATGACTGCAAAATTGTGCGTAATGCTCGTGTGTCAGTGGGGAGCAGGTATTCAGCAAAATAGCGAGGCCTGTGGGCAAACATAAATTATAATGTAATCTATGGAAGTAGCAATTAAAATTGGAGCATATATATTTACCCAGAGGCTTAAGTGACTTGATGTGCGCCTTCCATTCGTGATCATCAAACTCCAACCGGAATGGGCAGTGCTGATCGTGGGTTAAATCCAAAACTTCCGCAACAATGCCCCGTCCCTTGTGATCTTCGTCAACATCGGGTCCATCCTCGCTTTCCGTTTCCATAGACAACTGGCTATTACTACGCGCACCATCATCGTTCTGTTCATCGTCTGTATTGTGTAGGAAAAAAACCTTTTCGGCCGTCGGATTGGGCCACGATAATATGCCCTTTTTGTCAACACAACAGAGCGCTGAAATAGAGCCCAGAACCTGCACTAAGTTTGCCGAGCGCGGCAACAACTCACAATTGCCCCGCCAAAGATCTATCCAAGTGCGCAGCACATTGGATCGTAGCAGCGATATGTTATCATAGTCATAGGAGGGAGTATCCAGATCCTCCTCAAACGATTTCGTTGCAGTCTTTTCTAGTATGGCTTGCGGTGTCTTTAAAAAACATTGCAAGCGCGCCACGCCCCATAGATTCATGGATATCCACATGAGGGGAAAAATTAATGGCAGCAAAGGAATAACCGCAGCGGCTGGCGATTCAACAAGCACAGAAACCCAATTGCGAGTGGGCAGTCCATATCCGTGCACACGCAGAAGGCCAGCAAACACTGTGATGATCAGCGCGCTAATGAAACCCCATTGTTGTATATACTTGGTGACCAGCTTAAATGTGAAGGAGTTTTATTAAACGTTTACCAAAAATTATGCACTCATTGCACTCACCAGATATCGCTGCTGATTGTAAATAGTAGGTGGGCGTTTTAACGAGTTTCTCAGACAAATACGCAAGTTGTCCAAATACGGAGTGCGCTCTAGACAACAGATGAGATCAGGCAGCGGAGCACGTGCAACCGGCTTTACCGGGGGATCACCCATTTGTGAAGCGCCGTAAATCTCATTGGTGTTGAAAAACTTCTTGGTTTCTACTTCATGACAAGGGCCGGGAGAAATGTGTCCTGGTCGTAAAATAATGTAGTCTCCCCGCACTAGCAATGCCCAGGGCAGATTAACTATAACGCCATCGCGATATGTCCATTGCAGGGACACCGACGGCGACATCGGATTATTAAGATGCGGATAATTTGATGGTTTCCATTCCTCGCAGAGATATTGCTCAGCCATCTGCAGTTCTGTCAAGACATTCCGCGTTTTTCGATATATCTCCGTTCGTCGCAAATTGTTCTCTCTTATTACCATGAACAAGTCTAACAATAAGATAATCAGCAAACAAAGTGATGGTATTCCATATGAAGTGATAAAGAGAGCAAAACTAGTCAGCAATGTAGTTCCAATGGAGAGCCAGCCCAGTGGGCTGTCGTAGCGTTTCACAAATGCGGCACGCAACTTGCGGTAGCAGCTGAGAGGCACATTGTTATTATTTACAAGGTCAACTTTTAGATATTTTGAAAACTACCTTTCGGCGCCATACTGGCCCTCGCACTCAAGCAGCACCTTCTCAATCTCATCGTGGAGGCGAGATAGTGCTACTTTCGTGCTAAGACCGAGCTGTACATTTGCCTCTACCTGTGGGGAGGCAGGGTGCTCCAAGGTCGACTCTCTGTAGCAACCATCGTCGTGCTTATTGGTTGGCATTTTTCGTTGATTTCCTTAATTTAGAGTGCCCGCGAGCATTATACTGAACTGAAAGTAAGTTCGCCGGTCTAATGCATTGTCTTAATTATGAATTTTCACGCTCGTCGACGAGTTTGTCGCGATTCAAATAATGAGATGAGAATGAAAGAGCAACGCTCACAGCTGATAACGGCAAAGAAGTATCATTGGTTTCGATAACTTATCGATACCAGGAGGATTGGTATTAAAACGTATTAATAATTTGATTTTGATTTACAAAACTGCCAATGTTACCAGTAAATCTGGGGAACTATACAAGGGAAACAGGGGTCAGATTTTAAGATATACTCATATATCTAGTTTGGTTGAATCACTACTTTAATTGAAGTACAAAATTTTGCAATTTAACGCTTTTTTTGCATTAAACCGATTGCGAGCTCAATCTTATCGTTGTTATATTTCTCTTCAGCAACGCATGAGCAACTAGACGTAAGAAAGTTTTGTAGTGAGCTGCTTAATCCACCAATTTTCTGTGATTCGCGTTAAGCGATATTTATGTAAATAATAATGTAATTCCAATGCTTTAACATAAATGTGTATTATTATAAATAGATGCATAAATGCGCAATCTGCATTTTACAACGGCGTCTATTAAATCGGTTCGTAAAAGTACATAGAAATCAAATTCCGGTTTAGTATCTCATTTGTTATTTATTTAAAGTTGCCGCCGTGGGGTATTTCAGTTATAAATGAAAAAATAGTATTGGCAAGCCGAATGGTTTCCTCAATACATCGTGTATTTGTTTTTAAATATCGATATATCGATATGTTGCAGTAACCCTCCACTAAACACAAATAAAGTCGACCACGTCCAACTAGCTTTGTTGGGAATTTCTGCCTATTTACTACATTCACGATGGACGCCAGATTGGATGTGAGTAGTCCTTCATTCATTTGCAGCATCTAGGAAATTATGTTTTCTTCACAGATGTTCGATGGCGATATGCTGGAGGGCGACATGTCGATTCCAGGAGCACCCAAACGCACCACTACTCAGAATGGTGTGCCGGATTACAATACGCTGGACGAGCCCATCAAAGAGACCGTACTAAGGGACATGCGGGCCGTAGGCGTTAAGTTCTACCATGTCCTCTATCCCAAAGAGAAGTCAAGCCTGCTCCGCGATTGTGCGTCATTATGCATAAACTTGTAGTCGTAAGCAGTTTTTGATGTCTTTATTTACATTACAGGGGATTTATGGGGGCCTTTAGTTCTGTGTACGTTTATGGCCACCATACTACAGGGCTCCTCGTCGGCGGATAGCATGGCCGACAACGGTCCAGAATTTGCCCAAGTTTTTGTGATTGTTTGGATAGGCGCCGCCATTGTAACGCTCAACTCGAAGCTGCTAGGCGGAAACATGTACGTATACAACATAATAAAAAAAAAACACATATTTATTGCATTTCTCTTTATAGCTCATTTTTTCAATCTGTCTGTGTTTTGGGCTATTGCCTCACGCCAGTTGCACTTGCCTTAATCGTCTGTCGCGTTATATTGCTGGCTACTCAGACACGTTTGCTGTTTTTCCTGCGGTTTGTAACCACAACAATGGGCTTCGCATGGGCTACGTACGGTATGTTGGAGACTTATAGGATATTAACACAACAGATATCTAACTTTATTGTCCACTTGCAGCTTCTTTCATATTTCTTGGCCAAAGTCAGCCGCCACATCGCAAACCGCTCGCCGTTTACCCCATCTTCCTATTCTTCTTCATAATTTCGTGGCTGGTTTTATCGCATAATTAGCCATGTTCGTGACGTTCCGTTAATGTTTAGTGTCGTTCAATAGCATAACCAAAAAATCGGAAATCAAATGTATATTAAGCTTAAAAACTGTGACCGTTCCACATAAAGGCAACCCAATTTGTTTAAGGTACAATTTATTCTTACAGTCATAAAAATTCATTACAAAACTAGGAGTATATTTTGCTGGTTTTCTGCCATTGTCGTCGTCATCCAACGGTCTTTCTGCGAATTTCTTCAGCTACACTTCTAGGTTGTTTGGGGATGAGGCGATTTCTAGCGACATTTGCGATTTCACACCATCACCCTTCGGCGGCCGATACGTCAGCGAATTAGCACGAGCCTTTCGACCCATAAAATGCCGCTCCACCCACTTCAGAAGAGTATAAACCGAGTCGGTTGAAGGCAACCGATGATCGGCAGCAGTTTTCACAATGTCCGAGGAGGTCACACGGAATGTGCGTGCCATACCTTTCAATGCCTATTCAAGAAAAAGCGATAGAGCCGACAAGATAACACCGTAAAGTTTGTTATATACTTACCACCATAGCATCCTCATCCGTCAGATCGTCACCAACGTAGATAATCTTAATGCGTTCGTTCCAATCGACACCAAAAGAAGTTCGCAAAATGTAAATTGAAGCCCGACCCTTGTTCCACTGAACTGGGGGACGTGCTTCCAGCGCACAATTCACCTCCGTCGCCTTAAAGCCGTATTTCACTATAAGACCGCGTGCCTTTTCTACCATCGCTGGACGCAACTGATTGGGCGTCTCGCGATAGTGGAAAGTGAGCAGCGCACCTTTGTTCTCAACCCAGGCACCGTCGCGACAGACTGAATCTTGCAGTGCTTTCAGCAAATGACTGACTTTGTCTTCGTACTCAATTGGCATGGGATGCACAAATTTGCTGCCATCAGGATGCAGAATTTCTAGACCGTGATTACCGGCATAAGTGATGCCCTCGATACCAACCATTTTTTTCACATTGTCCACATTTCGGCCCGAGATAACGGCCACATAGACGTCCGAGTGATTGGACAGCTTGAAGAGCACATTTTTTATCTCTGGCGAGAGTGTGGCAAGATCTGGATGGGGCGCAATAGGTGCCAAGGTACCATCGTAGTCCAAAAGCAGTGCCAATTTGTGGTTGTAGCCGATGTATCTGCGAAAACAAGAATTTCAAAGCTTCAGAATAATGTGTCAGTGGGAGCAACAGGCTACGTCCACTTACTTGAGTAAGTAGTCGTCAAAGTCATCCACACTCACTGGCTGCATTATGGTAGTGCCTACATCGTCCATTTCCAGCGTGCCCATGGCTTTCAGGAAGCACCGCATCCAGTGGCTAACATCGCACTCGGCCTCGCGTCGTCGCAGACGAGCCATTCGAAGTGCACGCTCATCCTCGGGCATAGTCAGAGCGCGATGTATGACCTCGGCAGCCTCGTGGACTTCATATGGATTGCATATCAGTGCCTCGTGCATCATTTCGCCTGCGCCAGCAAACGGTGAAATGACTAAAACGCCGGGCACATCGTTTATTTGACATGCCACGAACTCCTTAGCCACTAAGTTCATGCCATCGCGCAATGGAGTGACCAAGCAAACGGCAGCGTCGCGATACAATGCTGCCAGTTCATCCTGACCCACATAGTCGTAGATGTACCGTATTGGGGCCCAGTTTGCTGTGGTGAAGCGCCCGTTAATACGACCCACTAACTGATCGACCTGCAAACCAAATTAATTCAATGTCTTAATACCAATCAAATGTTTCTTCTTACCTCCTCTTTTAGCTCGCGGTATTCCTTTACATCAGTGCGCGAGGGGACCGAAATTTGTAGCAGACTGACCTTTTCCTTGTGCTGTGGATACTTTAAGAGTAGAGCTTCGAAAGCCATCAGTCGATGGACCAAACCCTTAGTGTAGTCGAGACGATCCACACCCAGAATTATCTGCTGTTTTGTTGTTTTGAGCACCTTGGCCGCGTTGAGCGCCAAATTGACAAAACGCTCGTAGGGAATTCCAATGGGTAGGGGCCTAACACGCACAGTTCGACCGCCGTGCTCCACAAGCAAGTTGTTTCGATCGACACGACAGCCCAAATTGCGCTGACAGCAGTCGATGAAGTTTAAACAATAGTCTTGTATGTGGAAGCCCACGAGGTCGCAGCCCAACATGCCCTGCACTATTTCATCGGACCAGGGGAGCAATCGGAACATATCCCATGGTGGGAAGGGAATGTGTAGAAAGAAGGCCAAACGGCAGGGCAGATTTTTTTCCTCGGCCTGCTCCCTCACCCAGTTGGCAGCCAGCATTAGATGGTAATCGTGTATCCAAATAATGGGAGGGTTCTTGTCATGTCCATTTCCTTTCGACAGACATTTCTTCAGCGCTTCAATGGTGCGCACCGCAAAATGCTTGTTCACCGTCACATAGTCGTTCCAGTGCTCAGCGCCGAAATTGGCGCGACCAGGCATTGAGTGGAACAGGGGCCAGAAGATCTTGTTGCAGCATCCATTGTAGTAGCTGTCAAAGATCTTGGCATCAATGTTCACAGAAACCACCTGCTCAGACTTGAGGCCGGCTGTAGGCGTTTGATCATTGGGGTTCGACTCCGGAATGGGCTCGTTCGGATCCTCCAAGTGTATGCCAGACCAACCAACCCACAGGCCACTACCCTTGATCACCACAGGACACACGGCCGTAACAAGACCACCGGCGCTGAAAGAAGCAATACACACATACATATGTATAGTATAGAACGACCTAGAAATGTTTTTACAGTGTGCTAGGTGTATAACGTGGATTCCAGCCTATTTCACGTACAGTGCATGACACTACAGTGCTGATAATGTAGCCGATAGCACCAACAGCATCAGTGATGCCCATAAAAACAGCGGCCAAAACAACAACCACAATAAGCACAACAAGCCCTGATATGGTAAAGTGTAAACAACCTCGACTCAGGGGCAAAATCACACCAACATACTTGTACTATACATATAGCCGCGATCTCATCTCTCGACAATTCAGAATCATTTTCAACAATTCTACTTTTGGGTAGGTTAAGCATGTAGGCTGAGAGCTATACCAGCACGTGATATTTTCAGTGTCAGGTTCGCTTTCGACGTATCCAAGGCCTCTCCAATTGACCCCTTTTTCAGGACTACTGTGGTCGCCAGCCAACGCAATAGCAAGGGGTCAAGCCGCAAAATGGACCTCGCTGATAACGTTCGCCGCCAGCTATATATGCATTGTGTTTCAATTCGCTTTATTATTCAAAATCTATTCCATTCTGCGCTACCCTACACCTAGAAGCATATAGTTTGCTCATCCCACTGGCTCTGATGTCTGTTTGTCTTTAGCTGATAAGCCGCCCAATCACAATAAATATGTGGAAATGGCTACGAATACAGCTAAGGTAATAGAAAACTATGGAGGGGTGATGAAGGAGGTTGGGCTTATCTTTGTGCTCAAATGCAAATTGTCTTATTTGGTTGATTTTGGATTGGAATAGTGTTAAAGTGTGTCTGATTATAGGCTCAAAGTTTGACTGGGACATTTTCTACTGAGGCTTTGATAAGAATAATGGTATTAAAATATTTATTTTTGAGACTATTTTGTATTGGATTTACAAGTACATTGCCTTCTAGTTTCTTTGTTTGGTTAATTTTGAGATAATACTTTGAGTTTTAGTACAAAACAAAAAACTCCAATTTCTCAGCACAGCACAAGAAAAATTTAATCTTCAAATGATAATATATGTATGTATTTATATCACTACTGACAAATTGTTACTCGATATTCTGTTTGGGCCATTTGTAATGTTTTCCTTTTTTAAATAATAGAGTAAATAAAGCCTTAACTCAGTTACTATCACACCGTTCACTATTCACTTTTGTCTCACCTGGCCTTTCGCTCCAGCTCCTTTGTTACGGGATTACGCGTCAGCACGAATGGTAAACGGTTAGAGACAACTATTAAGCTGGCCTTAGTCGAAGGCTCGCCGGCGTTTGTCACAATAATCTCTGTGTCGGCCATTTCGTATCCTGCTTTTCAGCTATTACGATCTTCTATTAAATGCAAGCTGATAAATGTTTCTTTCAAACCGCAAGATAGGGCTTAGCACATAATTCCGAAAGTTGGAGTGCTTATATAAGAGCTGGTCTTTGGCAGGATACAGACGATGACACGTGCCAAACGCCTGGACCGGGTCTTCACTTGTGATTACTGCGCCGTGCGGTGAGCTACTAAATGCGAAGATGGAATGCACTGAAAGCAATCTTTGTCTGTTGTCTATGCAATATTTATATAGACAGACAAAAACGTGTTCAGATTGGAGAATAGGTTCTAGACATACGATGCAATCGTACCGGTGACTACTTGGCAGGCTGACTGCTTTCTGGCTTATCTGCCAAATGCAATTCGTGTTTTATATGACAATCGTTTCCCAGCGGGTGTGCGGGTTGTGCGTGTGTATTTTAGTTTTAGAGTGTATTTAGTTTTCCTGACTTTATAGACTCTCAGACTTGTCGCGGGAGCAAACACCACCGTACCGTGCCGAAAATAGACAAGCACTAATCGCAAATGTGGGCTCAAGTCGTACTTAATGCTAAAAATTATTGTGGTGGCGGTTCGCTCTCTATAACATCAATATCATCGTCACAGCCACTGCCCCCTGCCCAGACCGAGACACTTGAATTCCACAGTCCACTTGTGCACTAGACTCGGGGCCTTATCTCCCCGAGCACAGAGCGAATTAAGGAGCTTACAAAAATCGACCGACACATGCTCGACTACTATGGGTGCGAATGACGCGCGCTTGAACATAATGGGCCTTAAAGTGAGTTTTCTATGACAGCGGGACAGAGTTCTGTTCTTTTGCACGTGCTCCCGACCCGTGACATGTGAGCGAGAGGTAATTCAAGACTGGGTTAAGGTCATCGAACGCCGATTGTATAGAAACCCCAAGCATACTTGGAGCTTAGTTTCTAGTATTAACTGGCTTAGCCTGGTTTTATCAGCTTGAATCATTCTCGAAAGCAGCTGAATGCTCCATCGTAAAGAAGTACAGTCGTCAATGTTGGTGGTCCTTAGCCATGTTTACGTTTGCGGAAAATCAATTGTAATTTTGCAGATCTTGAAGATCTAAAGAAATCATTCTGGGGGAAAAAAAAATAAGAATGGTATCATTTGAACATAATGAAAACGTTTTTTAGACATCGGTTTTAATAATGTACCTAGTCGATTATAACTATTTAGTATGGAGCTTTGTGCGTTTGAATAACTTAACCCCAGAGCCTTAACCTTGTGTTGACCTCGATACCAACTTATTTCGTTTGTTTTCATAATGCTGTAAGCCGAAGCATTTCTCACTTGTTTTAGTTGGCAGTTAGTTTAGTCAACAAAGACAACTGATAAGGAGGCGGCACACTGTGCAATATCTGCGCTTTGCTGCGACAAACGCTTTTTAGGCGGGCACCTGATTTGGCTAATTGCACTCAAGTGGCGGAGGGATTAAGGGTTTTATCTTGGCTAGCCCCAAAGACCCAACAACAACATCATTCTAATGCCTGTAAGTACATTTGGTGGGCGATGGGAAAGATTGCAATTGTGCATATCTGTGCAGCGTCTTAGAATTGGAAAGCTTTGTTTTTGCTGAACTTGATTGTTAGATCATGTATAGCATTCACGCGGTTATCACGTCGCTTGGTTTACTTTTTACGTGATTGTGATAGTTGGGACATTTATATTAAGTCAACAGTGAAAACCATTTACCAAAACAAAACAACAGCAAATTAGCGAGTACAGCTTAGTCACATGTAACAAATGCACTTTACAGGTTTTGATGCTGATAACGATAACCCACCAAAGGGTCATCCTTTTATTTTTAGCTGCAGCCGTTCAGTTTAATTACCGCGATTTGACGTAAGCCGTCATTTGCTGAGATTGCAAAAATTCGTATTTGTTGGGCGACTAGAGGTTAGCACTTGGCCGCTCCGTGTTACACTATTGGCTGGGAGCCTGGCTTAGTAACGGTTTTGTTTTGTGCTCGGCGTTGCCATATGACGTTTCGTAGCAGTCGGCTTTTAAAGAGCTTCTTGAGCAGCTGATAGGCTATTTTTGGCGCAAAAAATTGCCAATTTTGTGTTTATGTTTGGATTGCAATTTAGTTGCTCGACATGGATCCCTGTATCATCGAGTTCATTGGAGAGAAGTCTATAATAGGCATCATTCCGAACTTTTCTAACGACCCATTACATTTGATATACGGGACAGTAGGACCGTTTCGGGCTGGCCTGCCCGTGCATGTGCCTCTCTGGTTGGGAATACATCTTCGCAAGCAGCAAAAGTGTCGCATAGTCCCGCCGGAATGGATGGACATGGACGTGCTGGAGGAGATCAAGGAGGAGGAGAAAAAGTCCAAGTGAGTGACAAAACATTAAACCTAGAATCGGGTTATAGCTCGCAGAATTTTGCAGGTTCTTTACAAAGATGCCTAGCGAGCATTATATGGTTGTCGCACAATTAGTTATGAGCACTGCACCGGACGATGTGCCGCGCTGTGAGGAGCTCCGTACCATTATCAAAGATATATTTGACATACGCGAGTCCAAGCTGCGCACCTCCATCGACGCCTTCATAAAGGGTGAAGGAACCTATGCTAAGTTGGACAATCTAACTCTGCTAGAGATTCACAGTGTTCGTCCAATCTTGCCCCATTCGCTGGATCACATTGCACGTTATCAGCGCATGGCGGAGGTGACGCAACGCGACACATCAATTCTTGGCCTCAGCCGGACGACTGGAACAGGAACGGGAACGGGAACGATGAGCAACAGCTCTCTTTACACGCAATGATGCGATTTTTAAATTCATATGTATATTATGTATGTATGTAAGTTGAAATGTATGTTATTATTGTGTTGGCGTCGCGCTGTGAATGGCAACAAAGTGTTAAACAGCTGTTTGTGCGTGACGTCGTCTTGCATTTTGAGTGTACCTTAGGATTATAATAAAAAGTATTAATTGCTAGAAATATTAACGCAATCATCATGAGTGAGGTTGGTGTGGCTTTGGAAGTAGACGGCGCGGCCGATAAAACGCTGGGCAGCAACAAAATACACTTTTCAAAAGAGGTGAAGCAGGTTATCGACAAGGTGAGGGTGGAGTCTTAAATTAAACAATATGCGAGCACTTTTACAGGTAATTATCATTTCTAGGTGCTCAAAACGGATGATCCCATGGATGCGACAGACTTCAACACCGTTGACTACATCAACCAGCTGTTTCCCAATGAGCAATCACTGGTCGGTATCGATGAAACTATTCAGCGGATGCAGTGTGAGGTCTCGCTTATTGATGATAACATACGCGCCGTGGTGCGTGGTCAGACGAATACTGGCCAGGACGGACAGCTAGCCTTGTGTGAGGCGCAGAAGGTCATTAGCTCGCTCTATAGCCACATAATCGATGTGAAGGCGCGTGCCGAACGCACCGAAGAAATGGTCAAGGTATTTATAGTGTAATATAAACATTATATTTATATTTATTTGTAAATGAGAGGCAAAACTTAAAGTTACGAAGACAGTTTCATTTTATGAATATGTAGATGATATAGTTTATGTATATACATACATATGTATGTATATGTCATACATACAAAGCTTGAGCCGCATGTTAGAAGCTTTTAATTGAAAACATCATATGTTTCTCAATTTCTACATAATCCTCTATATGTTATATATATTCATTAGGAAATCACCAGAGACATCAAACAGTTGGACTGTGCCAAGCGTAACCTTACTTCGGCCATAACAACGCTAAATCATCTGCACATGCTAGTTGGTGGCATTGAGAGCTTAAACAAACTAATTGAGCGACGTTCGTATGGCGAGATTCTAAATCCGCTGCAGGCCATTACCGAAGTGAATCAACATTTCCAGCAGTACTCAGACATAGAAGAAATCAAGGTGAATACCTGGTTAAACACCGTGTTCCTTAGATGTAGTAACAATTGCATTCCCTTCACAGAATCTTTCGCAAAGCGTCGACAAAATTCAAGTTACACTCGCGCAACAAATCACGGAGGACTTCAAAGAAGCCTTTGCCGCGAAGCCTTCTGCCCAACATCATCGGTTAGGACTAAACCAACTATCCGATGCCTGCAAGGTTATGTCAGTGCTGGATCCAAAAGTCAAAAAAGATCTTCTCAAGTGGTTCATAGCTCAACAATTAGAGGAGTATATGCATCTGTTTCACGAAAACCAGGACATTGCCTGGTTGGATAAAATTGATAAAAGATACGCTTGGCTTAAACGCCATTTACTCGACTTCGAAGACAAATACGGAGCCGTGTTTCCACTAGATTGGGAGGTTTCCGAGCGCATAACAGTGGAGTTTTGTCGGCAGACACGTGAACAGCTGGCAAAGATCATGGCCAAGCGGACTAATGAGATAGATGTACGCCTGCTGCTATTTGCCATCAACAAGACGCAAGCATTTGAGCAGCTACTTTCCAAGCGCTTCACTGGCGTCACTCTTGGCGGAACGGTCGCTGAGCAAACACGTGTGCTCACAGACCTGAATATCGCGGATGCGAATGCGGCACCTGGCATTGTCATCTTTCATGACCAAATCGGCCAGTGCTTCAAGGTTCACTTGGACATTTACATACGTAGCATTGATCGCAATTTGTCCGAGCTGATGGAGAAGTTTGTCGAAATGTCCAAGGAGCCGTATAAGTTTGCTGAGGCCAAGACCACTGTCTACCCGAGCTCGGGCGATCTGTTCGTCTTTTACAAAAAATGTATGGTGCAATGCAATCAGTTAAGCAATGAACAGCCCATGTACGATCTGGCCTTGGTCTTCAAGAAGTATCTGCGCGAGTATGCCTCCAAAGTGCTGGAAGGCAGCACTCCCAAGCTAATTACCCCAACTACTTCCATAGGCAAGAGCGTTTCATTACTGACGCGCGACATGCAAAATTTATCGACGGCCGCTGGACAAGTGTTCCACAATTTTCTCAAGGAGGGCGACATCCAGCGTTTCGGTCGAGATGACTTGGTGCGCATCTGCTGTGTACTGACCACCGCCGAGTATTGTCTGGAGACTGTGCAACAGCTTGAGGACAAGCTAAAGGAGAAGGTCACTTCTGCGTATGTAAATAAAATTGATATGTCCGAGGAGAAGGATGTGTTTCATCGGTGAGAAAACTAATGAATACTATATGTATTCTTCATTGCTAACATTTTTATTTCCAGTATCATATCCAACTGCATTCAACTGCTTGTTCAAGATCTAGAAGCAGGCTGCGAACCGTCTTTGCAAGCCATGGCAAAGGTGCAGTGGCAGCAAATCAGCAATGTGGGTGACCAGAGTGCGTTCATCAGCAATATTTGCTCCAATTTCAAACAGACAGTGCCTATAATACGAGACACTTTGGCCTCCTCTCGAAAATATTTCACACAATTCTGCCACAAGTTTGTGGCTGCCTTTATTCCAAAGTTCATCAACGTATTGTACAAATGCAAGCTCACGCTGTCGGATGGATCCAACAATGTGCTGGGCTGTGAGCAGCTGCTTCTCGACACGCACTCACTGAAAACGGCCCTCTTAGATTTGCCCTCGGTGGGCTCGAGTGTTAATCGCAAGGCACCCACCAGTTACACCAAAGTGGTGGTCAAGGACATGACGCGTGCCGAGATGATCATTAAGGTCGTAATGACGCCCGTTCAACCGCCAGCCCACTTTACACAGCAGGTCCTGAAACTACTGCCCGATATTACCATAGCGGAATATCAAAAGATTCTGGACATGAAGGCGGTTAAGCGTGTGGATCAATTGCAACTAATCGATTTGTTTAAGCACACAGCTTCGGCGGCAGCAGTTAGCGGACTCATGGAGGTAACTCGCGAAGAAAGCGACGCACCAGCAGCGTCCATACAAGTGATACCTGATGTTCAAATTGCCAACATCGAAGCCGACACTTCCAACAGCAATAGCCTAGCCACGGGAGCAGCAGGAGAGTCGACAACACCAGCGACGCCGGTAACGGCAGCAGCCACGTCGACACCCAAACGCGCTTTCATTTTTAGTGTGGGAAGCTTTACGGGTAGCGCGGACAAGAACGCTGATGGCAGCTCACAGACAGGCATACGCAAACTGGAGAGTCTGTTAAAGAAGCGCTTCCCCTAGTCACTGAATCCGCAAAATTACTTACAACATTCCTTTACTTAAGCATTATAGCATTAAAAATACAATTGTATTAATTTTTATGGAGTACTTCATTCTAATGTAGACGTAGACATATGATTGACTTCTTACCGTCTGAATACAAACTTATGTGACTATATTGAAAGTGCGATATATGTGTGTTTGCGTATATAATGTTACTAATGACTAATGCCTTGGCGCTTAAGGCTGCTTCTGCTTCTGCTGCTACGAGCTTATGAATTTATGTATTGATGTCTCTAGAGCTATGATTTGTTTTCTATATACATGCAACTTACGAGCGACTACTAAACAACTACCAGAGTTTTATCTCTAAACCTAAACACATTAACATTTGAAGATCTTTTGAAAGTTTTCGCATTGCGCGCAAAAAGTACAAATTTTTTAAACAAAAGACTTAAGACACGAACTACCATAAGGCAAAAATATAAGTATGTATGTAGGTATTATCCACTATATACTATATGGTAGGTATGAATATATGGATTCTTGCTTTGGTTTAATTCCAGCACTAATAACATAAACTGATATATGACTACAAACGTGGATGTGGGCGATGACCTGGGCAATTGGCATTCGGAGCAAGTTAGTTCTCTGGGACTAACGATGCCCGAAGCTACCGAAGCTGCAGCGTCCAAAACACTTCTTATACGAGTATGTACACGCTACGATTTACTCGTAAATTTAAATACACAGTATTTACATAAGTCGAGTAAATGTCTAAGACTATGCTTACTTATACATACATATGTACATATAGCTTAACCCTAGACTGCCACAGTTTTGCTGGGATCCACCTTGACGCGCAGAAAGACTGTGTCTTCTTTGATAAAGGGGCGACGATGTAGTAGCTCGTGTGAAATAAACCGGGGAAACCCGAAGCCGAGCTGATCCGGTTCATTCGATGGGCGTTGGAAGTTCTCCCAGGTGGGGTCGGGCACAAATGACTCGGCCACGCCGCCCTGTCCGCTCTGTGCGCCTTGCTCGAACAGCGTGAAGGTGATGGAGTGCGAGAAGGGCCACTTCAAGAGTGCATCGTATTCTCCTGGCAGCACTTTGATGTATACCGAGACGTGTGTGTTCTCACCCGGTCCATTGCCATTGAGAAACATGGAGGCCTGCAGCTTGTATCCGTACTGCGAAGTATAGAAAGGCGGAGAGACCAACTCCAATCCGTCCTTGCCGCGTGCCTCCGACATTTTGGCCGACCAGTCTGTAATCTTCCAGAGTAGAGTGCCAGTATAGTTGATCGATAGCTTGGACACGGCCGACTTCAGCATTTGTATTTGCTGGCCCTGTCGCGTGGACAGCGACACCATTAGCGATAGATGTGCGGCTGCATTCGCCTCCAAATGGGCGTCCAGCAAATGGCGCGGCCCCTTGAAACGACAGCCAGCCTCCTTGAATGAGCAGGCCACGGCAAGCGATTTGCAGTCATCGCGTAAATGCGCGTCCATGTCGGCACGTGCTATCGGCCCAACATCGCAGCGTTGCGGGCACACAATGGGCGCCCTGGGACACTGGGCCACATGGAGCGGCAAAGTGTCGGCTGAGAACTCGCGCTGACAGTGCAGACAACGGCGGAGTCGCTTCACGCAATCCTTCGACTTGTGCAGCGTCATGCGACCACGGAGTACGCGCTGTCCGCACTTTGCCTCGCAATAGATGGGCTCCTGGCCACAGGTGCCGTTGTGCTCCTCCAGGCCAGCGCCAGAGAACTCGCTCTGGCAGAATTCGCATTTGGTGCGCCGCATGGTGCATGTGTACTGTAGATGATCGGTCATCATTATGCGTGGAATCTGGGCGCCGCATTTATTGGGACACTGGGTGGCATCGTGCTTGCAAGTATTGAGGTGGGCCTTTAGCTTGCGCAGCTCATCGGACCACTTGCATCCCTGCTTGTGGTGTATACAAAAGACCAGGGAGCCCATAATGGCTTGCTTCGGATCGGGACCGGGATAGATCTGTAATGGAAGCGAGATGAAGAAATGCGGGATTAGTGAAAATTATTCATTAAAAATGTCCTTAGAAAAGCTAAATAATATGCGTATGTTCTTTTCGATTTGTACTTTGCTTTTTGCTTTCTTGATTCCTTGCCAAAAACCCATTAGAGTGCGTGCGCTCTACTGTTGAGCCTGCGTAAATGAGCAGCTCATTTATAGGCACTTGTTCTGCCGATAAGCGTTTCAGCCTAACTGCCTTAACTGTTTTATCTGCTGCTTATCTGCTGGTTAACCCTCTTTCTATTGTCTGTGCTGGGTCTTCATTGTTCATTTTTCTAGTTCCTTTGGGTTACCTGCCTGCTTGCCTAGGCCGTCAACATTTCACACACGACTGGTCATGTTCTTAGACACACCCTGGGCAAAGACTTCCTGTCTTAGATGCAGGCCATGCTTCACTGCATTTTGCCTATAAAAAATAAGAAGAAAACTGCAGCTCCAACTTGTGACACACCCGCTACCAACTGACTGACTGAATGACTGACTGGTTGACTCTCCGTTCCCCTGCATTTCTGTATTCATTATTTTGCACTCGGGTGCACTTCATTTCTTTGCCCCTTTTGTGCTTTTAATTGCAGCTCTTGTTGGCTCTTGGGGCGGCGACATACTGAGTGCAGCTTCACATCCGGTAGATTAAAATAATAAATTGCGTTTCGAGTGCGAAAATATTTATGGGTCGCATGCCTCGTAATATAGTAGGTCGAACACCTACTATCTACAGGCATATTGCGTGTACACTTAGAAAAAATTAAGAATTTTTTAAAATATTTAATTACTAATTTATAGACCAATTTAGGCACGCTGTGTTCTATCTGAAAAAGTGTTATTGTTACACGAAAACTTAACATTTTTAATAAGGGTATATTGTTTTTGTTTAGTAAGGTGTAGAAAACAGAATGGAATACTCATACAACAAATACTTGGATTTTTGCTGAGTGTATGTAAAGAGTATGTACGTATGTGTTAAGCAATATCTAATTACGCACAGCTATGCATAAACATATAAAATACTCATAAATGGCACACCCTCATATATTTCATTTGTATTTTTCATAAAAATTACAAAATCTATTGAATATGCGAGGGCTATTTCACATACACATATGTATGTACATATGTCTATACGAGTAGATTGATATGTGTGTGAGTGTGTCGCCCCCAACCCTAGTGAGCCCGTCTCGACATTTCCGGTTGACTCTTTTAATTGACCTTATCTGCAGTTGCTTCTTAACTGTCGCTTGCCTGCCGCTGCCGCTGCCGCTGCCTTCCTGGAGCTACAGAGCGTGGCTTGGGTTTTGATAAATGAACATGTCGCTTTGGGTACCGATGATGCCTTCGTTCTGACTCCCAGACAACTGGTGGAAATGAAATAAAACGAAGATACAACTATAATAAGCAATTAACACATGCCTCATGTGTGCTTTTACGAGTACGTTTTCGGTTCTGTCTGTGCGTATGAATGAAGTGCAAATGGGCGTAGAGCTCGAATATAAACGAATAAAAGCTAAAAGCCTTAACCAAAATTTGAAGATATCATTTCTGTAGAACTGCCTTTGGGGCTCGTTGGTAATTTAATTTAACAAGAAAAACAAGTTATGCTCTTTTATGTCAACCTAAAATGACAAAATGCCACGCATTTTGAACTGTTTGCGGCAATTTGAACTCCACGGCTGCCGCCGCCTTTAAGGTCCACAGCCATGCACCAGTCTAAGACTAATTAGCAGTTAAGCACCAGCACTGGCCCCCAAGCCAACCAATTTAGAGTAAACTTGAACTTGCAGAGTACAGACGATTGTAATTGCCTGAGAATATTGTCCGCAGCGTCTAATGGTCTGCCGAATGATTCCATATGAGTTTTGTTGTTTGTGTTTCAGGAAGGAAAGTGCAGCATTCACATTTCATCATCAGCATAAACAAATAATGAAATGTTTACACAAATATTATTTCCACTGATGTTTTAATAAAGAGAAAGAAAAAGATATGAGCCGAATGTCAGGAAAGACAAAGATCAAAAGCTGGAGCCTGCATGCCAGCTATCTGCTTGTTTGTTAAAACCGAAGATTCCTTCCCCACTTGTTGTTTACAAGGAAATCAAACAATTATGGAGCCCAAAACATAACACATGTGGACTGAACAGATAGAAAAAAGAACATAGAGACCTTCGCGGACCTTCATTTGAAATGTTGACTTTTTAGTGGCAATTATTTGCCGCCTTTTCGACGTTAATTTGCTTTGACTTCCAGCTCCGTTTTTATCTCCCCTACTCCCCTCAGCAGACCACACGCGCTATTATATAATTATTTATACACTGTGGTGGAAACTTTTGCTTTTTGCCAAGTGCTTTGAAGTAACTGCAGGAAATGATGTTGTTAGTGGGAAGCAAAGCTAGCTTTTGGTGAAAGTAATGTGGATTTTAACTCCAGGGTGGTTCGAATTGGTCCGGTCGGTAAGCCAGAAATTAGAAGGCACATTTTAGATGCGCATGGCCCATTATTGGATTATCGCAACAGAAATCTAAACCTTATAATCTATATCGCGTACAGAGGCATGCAGGTACATATGTACATATCTACAAATTATGACGAATCGGCATCTGAATGAAACAAATCAAATCAAGCGTGTGTGTGTGTATGGCGCGAAAGCGTAGCTAAAACTTCAAATATCCAGAGATTGCAATTAAGAATTTACTCAAATCGAAATCAATCTAAGAGTTGGGCAACCACATGGCGCCCAGTGGAGTCGGGACCGACGCAAAGATAGCAAATGAGTATTGCTAGTGGTGGTGGTATTTGTAGCCAAACGACAACGCATTGGATTTTTTAATGGCCGCTACCAACAACTGCCACTTTGCTGTACAAGAACAAAAATAACTATAATGATAGCAACAACAACTGCAACGACAGATCATAAAAATTGAGTTAGAAAAAGTGGAGAAGAGGAGGAAAACATTTTTATAATTTTACGCATAAAAATCATTCGATTTTCCGTAAAGGAACGAAATGTAGCTTGGCATGGGTCTCGGTGCCGTCGACACTTCTACAGTCCCAATAATAAAGTTCAAGGCATCCATAGATGTTACCCCAACTCCAAACAACTATGCACATGTGCTTGATTTATTTTTAAGGCTTTTATGGCATGCCTGCATGCTTTTGGAGCTGTTGGGTGGGGAGTTCGGAATGGCATGTGGTCTGTAGTTTTGTTTCTGTTTCAATCAGCCGGGCCGATCGAAAACACCAACGCATTGTTTATTATTGTGTTGAAAGTTTTGGGAAGCACTTATTTGAAATTTGTATACTATACTTTATTAATAGACATTGGTAGCTAACAACTTTACAATGTCATGGCTTCTGTTTTCACTCATGCTGAGATAAATATTTCCTTGAAGATGAACATAATTTTCTATCGATTGTGTTGTACATTTTGTCAAGTGCATAAATTCATACTTACTTGTATATACATAGTATGAATATATAGTACATACATATACCCATGACTACTACTTTATACTATTCAAATAGCTACTGAAACAGATTTCATATTTTATGAGTAGTGTTGGATTGAACTCTGCTTTGTTTTAAAAAGTTTTAAAAAGTGATCTTTTGTCTGTGTCGAAGCTACTCACGTATACTACTTCAAGCCACTTTGGTAACACTTTTCATTGAAAGGAGTACTAATATTTATATTACATAAAAAGAAATAAATTATGTTTAATAATTGTGAATTACAAAATGAAGAGTTCAATATATTCTGCTGAATTAACAAATCTTAGGCTCTATAGGTCTGAAGCTTGCCTGCCAATACGCTCATCATGAAGCCTGCCTTAAAAGGTCATCAAATTCGACCTGCTAGGCTCGTTACGTTCGGGCTCAATGGACCACTTAGCATCTACATGCACACTTCCGCCTAGGCTGTTTAACAAATGCTCTTTTACCAAATCATGTACGTGTATGTTGACGTTCATTTGTCCGGCAGACAATGACACCGCACGCTGTCAGTCGGCAGAGTATAACTTATAAATAGCTGAGCACAAAAAATGGAGTGAACAAACCAGCGAACAAACCAGCGAACAAACCAAACAAACCAAACTTGGCATGGGTCTGGGCTCGGCACTGAGTTGTGCTGTTGTTCTCTCTCCCTCCCTTTTATTTGCTTATTTATATACTTTATTATATTTTTTGGTACGTGAGCATTGCACTTTGCGTTAGCTGGTTGTGTTTGCCTAAACAATTTTTGTGAGACCGTTAATCAACAATTATAAACTGCATTATAAGCTCAATGAAAACTGCGCTAAATGCTGTGACATATTTACAAACATCCACATGAAGTATGTATGTATGAATACATATATGTACATATGTATTTATGTATTAAATGTGTGTATGGTCGAAAGTTAGCTATCTGGAAATTTAATTAGAGCGTTTTTGGTTTTTGGCTGCGTGTTGTTTGCCCGATCGCAAAACTTCCCACGTTTGCAGCTAACAACAGGTTCCAGTTGTTTGTTTTGACGATTAATGCGACGCCCACTTGCCAGCTGACCCACAAAATGGTAAAACCCAAGTACAACCAGACAAAGAAAATACAAAACAAATTGCATCTACAATGGTTAGACGAGCGCTGAAAGTGCTGGGCTGGCAAATTTCTGTAGTTTGAAGGAACAGCTGATGTGCAGTTTTGTGAATTTCACAAGGAAATGCAACGTTGGCTGTAATTTCAGTGACGACAACAACAAATGAGCGAGCAAGCTAAGTCAGTTGCTGAATGGAAGCAGCAGCAGCAGCAGCAACAACAAATGAAAACAAAACATGGCCAAACGTGTTTCTCAGCCGCGCCAGCTGATTTTTTCATTATGTTTTTTGAGCAGGTAACAGAAAACAACAACAAGAACAGCGACAGCGACAACAGGTAAGCCAACTCTGCACCTGCACACACACACACACACATACTATCCACAGCTTACACATACAGACACTCATACAAGTTACAAACATTTTTTGTAATTGTAGCCGTTGCTGTCCATTTTGCATAGGTTTTTGCGCTTGAATGGCATTGCTGAATTATGAGTGTTCGGCAAAATGCACGTCTGTCGTTGTTCTACATCTACTGCATGCTAGCTGCAGTGTTGCCATACTTCACAACAGAAGCTGCAGAGGCGTCATTGCCACATCTGATTTGGAGTTGCAGCATCGTGTATCTAAATTTCAAACTGTGCCGTTGTATGTTGCAATTTTGTTTGTTGTTGCTGTTGCTGCTGTTATTGTTGTTGCTTATCTGTGAAGTACAACAACAAGCAGGTGAACTTTGCTGCATTGTGTTTTCTTTTTTTTTTGTATTGGCTGTCCGTCTGCTTTTTTTTTTTTGGGGTAGCAGCTGCTCGACTGCTTAACTGTTTTTGTGATACGAAAATTGTAGTTTTTAACTGCGGGCTTGGCCTTTATATGCACGAGTCTATGTATGTGTGTGCAGCAGCTGCCCCTGACGAGCTATGTAGCTGGCTGATGCCCGCTGCTCCTTCCTAACATGACGTCGCAGGTTTGCAGACAACTGACAGGAAGCGCTGGCCCTGTAGTTGATTGCATAGGTATTACTTATGGTATAAAAATGTTGCTAAATTCTGGCTAGGGCCAATACCTTACAAAGCATTTCTTATATTTTTTCGTTCTTGGCAAGGTCTCCGAGGTGAAAACAGTTGACTCAGCGAACGGCCATTTCTTTAAGCTTCAACATTGAAAAAAAAGAAAAACAACAGTCAAATGTGTCGTTAACACCAACCCGCTAAGTGCAGACAGTGGGCTAACTAAGTGATAAGCCGGAGGGGGGATGTGTGATGGGCCGGGGCAAATTAACAATGCTTTGGCAGAAACCAACGGTCACAAGATACATTCAAAGACAGGCGCTAATTGAAGGCAGAAATTGTAGCACGTACCTAGTAGTAGGCCGGAGTGTGTGGGAAAAAGTGTAAGCGCAGACATTGAAATAGTTTAAAACGTGGAGAGGTTATCGACGGCGGTAAGGCAAGGGAAGGTAAGGGCAATGCCCAGCAGAGTGGCGCTGTCTCGCGTGACAAACGCCACAGTATTCAATAAGTGTCAATGATAAAACAAATACGAGTACAAGAGCGGGAAGCTATCTCACTCCAATATGAGTTTCAGCTTTGAGTTTCCGTATAACCGATTATATGCAGATCGATTTTTAAAGAATAATTCCAGAATTCAAAGCACTCTATCTATTGTACTTAAAATATTTCCAACAATTACAAGAGTTATTAGAAATCACCAACTAAAGAAAGAAAACTTGCGCTTTTTCTGAAAATGAATGAAACATTTTTTTTTTTACTTTAGCTCTTCCATTGAAATTTCTATCAAAGGTTAATTGAATCAAAATCTATTGGTAAACATGTTTTTAAGTCATACGTTGTGTGCCTACCGATTCCTAAAATATTAATTTTACTTTTACATATTTTCAAGACACAGTCGTTCGCCCACATTGGAATGCACTTTCCTTTCTCTAGAAGCAATTCGTTGTAAAAAGGGAAAAATGTTTCTATAATATAGTTGCGATTGTCGCGTCACCGGAAATTGTCAGCAGTAGCTATCGTGGCACATTTCAAATCGGCCCACAGATAGGATCAGGGACTTCTCATTCCAAATGCACAGCGAACTTTGTCACACTGTGCGTGCGTGAGCATTTAACAGTTACCCGAGTACGAGCTATTTGTATTCACGTGGAATATGCCTGGCATGCACAACCGGCAGACGCCCCCGTCGGCATCGGCCATGTGCAAAGTGCTTGGCAAGTTGGCCACAACTGGTTTACCTTTGACCAAGGATGTCTGTACTTCGGGCCACTGTCGCCGTCGCCGTCCCAGTCTCAGTGGCAGGCAAAGCTGCTGGACAACTTTTCCAATTGCAAACTCTGATTTCTGCTTAGCCGCTGGGAGGTGTAGTGGCCGCTAACGGATTGCTTCGTTAGTCGCAGCAACAACAACAAACTTGTTTTCGTGCATATGACAAAAAAAAAGTTGGCCGTCTTTTTGTGACTTACATAAGCGCATTTTTCTAATGGTTGCAGCAGGCGGCTTGGCAGACGCCTTTCAACTTTGCCATTTTTATTCGCTAGATGCGCACCGCGTGGTCGGTATAGTTTTTGCTCACGATTTCGATTCCAACCATTGTGCAGGCAAGTGCAACACGTTGGAAGTGGCTTGCGGCGGTTTGTGGCACGTTTTGCGCCACTTAGATGCTGCTGATGACTATGGCGCTAGAGCTTTAGGTGTGGCTGCCACATATGAATATGAATACCCCCACTCGGACCCAACTATAGTATGTGTATGTATAGAAAATCGAGCTCACTGCTAAATAGTACAATGGATTGTGAAATGTATTTGAAAACAAGTTTTTGTGTTCGTTACGCCTGCAGCAAACAAATAAATTCGATGCTACGTCTTGCTGCCTAATTTCGCATCGTTTCCCATTTGATTTCTGCAAACTCAAATGTATAAATTAAAAAGGCGCATATTTTAAATGATTATCATCCGTTAAAAAGTACTGCAAGTTGTTTGGCAATAAGAAAAGAATAAACAAAAAACTGTATAAGCGTGTGAAATGTCCGGTCTATTGTTTGCTAATTTCATTTCATTTCTAAACAATGTTTTACATGTATTGATGAATTTTTTGCTGCTTTCATTTTTGCATTCATGTTATTCTATTAAAAAATAACAAATATGAAAATAAGGCGGTTGAAAATATATTGAAATTTAAGCATTTTAGTAACTAAACTCGAAACATTTATCAGCAAAATTTAAAACATCAATTTAAAAACTCAAATAAACTGCTAACTGTTCATATACAATATAATTTGGCGAATGCGAAAGTTAAATACAACAAAAAGTGGATTATTGGTTTTGAAAAAGTTATACCAACTTGTTAATATCTTTCGTTAAGGTTTACTGATTTTAATTTCTATTTTGTTTTTAAGAAATGGAATTATTCAGCAATTTCCTAATTTTCAAATAACGACATCAGTAGTAAATTTTTTAACTTCAATTTAAATTTGGATCAAAAAACTTAAGAAATTCAATTCACTGTCGTATTGTAAAATGGAATTGTGAAATACATACTTATATTGAACATAAAAAAAAACCATATTTTAAATTGTGGTTGTTAGAAAGAAAATAAAAAGTTAACTAAAAATATTTATAACTACGGCTATTAACAGATATGTACTCGTGATTTGGATAATGTTATAATTTACTCATTATAACAGACATCTGGTGAGTTGAACGCGACAAATTAATACCATATCGTTCAAATTTTCCCTTCCAACTACCAAGTATTGCTTGCTAGTCGCCGAACCCTTTGCTTGTGACCCTGTCTGCAGTGCCTTTCCTGCCTCCCTGCCTCCCTGCCTGCTACTGGGCCCATGTGTTTGGTTGGTTAGTTCTGGCTTGGCACGTTGTACACATGTGTCGCGCGGTCTTTGTCCGTCCCCTATACTTCCCCGATTCGACGCACATTGCTCGAACTTCTTGCCAGATCGGCAGCGTCGCTGGAGCGGTGCTATTCAAGCGTGGCGACATCCTGTTTGCTTTGGATTTTTAATGTCTATCTTTTCCGTTTGTTCGGCCACATGTGTGTGCGTGTGTGGGGTTATCAATTAGATTTTTTCCGCATTTTAATGTGGCGCAAATTTTCACATACGCATTTATGCGAGCGGCTTTTTGATAAAGTACCTGGCAAATTACTTTTAACTTGGCCATCATAAACAAATGTACTTAGACGGTTGAAATTAAAGCACGATTTCAATTTTTTAATGACTTGTTTTGAAAATTGTGAAAAAATTGTATTTATTTGCTTTCAACGGCAGTCAATAATAACAAATAAAGGCAAATATAACACATATACAAGTATCATATATGGTATAGTAAAGAGAGTTTTTTCCCTATCTAGGTAGGAAATCGTCAAAGAGATAGCAAACTCAAAGTCTCTATTTTACTTTCCCAGCGCATAGTTGTTGCTGTTGTTGTTTGCCACCAAGTGTTGGCTTCAATATTTTGATAGGCATTTATGCTATTTGCTTAACAAAATTGATTGATTGATAATGATAAGTGGTGGTGGATTTAAGTGCAACAGAGCGGAGTTGTGCAAGGCTTGGGCATTTGATAGGCTGCATATGACTGAGGGCAGCAGAAGCAGTCCCCAACAACAGCAACAACAACCGCACATTTAAATGGGTCAATGAGCTTTATCAAAACACACACATATTATGTATGTGTAAGTATATATGTACATATGCCCGGCAATCAAAAGATAAGAGCCTAACAATCAGAATTTGTGCGCATCTGTAAATTCTTTTGTAGCCTTGCTGTTTGTGCAGCTGTGATGATTCTTTTTATTAAGTATTTTAGACAAACAGGAAGCTAAGGACACTTACAATCTGTTCCAGTTCCGTTATGGGCATATTGTTGTTATTGCCAGGTGTAGGCGAACTATTCGATGCGGCCGATGAATGCGAAGAGGAGACTGTCGATGAGGAAGAACGCGAAGTAGCGCAGTTGTTGTGCGTCTTGTTGCGGGGCGGAGTGGGCGGCGGTACGGGATTGGCGAGTGTGGAGCAATCCTTGGAATTGCGATTGGGTGAGAGGCGTGAAGGAAAACTCAAGGTTTTCGTCCACTGAGCCAAACTGCGCACCATCTTTGCTTCTCGTTATACGTCTTTGGCTTCGCGAAAGTTCAGCTTACAACTAATCCACAATTGTATCAAAAATGTACGAGTATTCACAAACACACACTTTATATTTTCGATTGTCTCGATGAAAGTAGTTTTAATTTGGAACTCTTGTTACGCACTCATCATAGGTTTACGGATATTAGTTTTATTTTCGCTAAGCAACCGTTTAATTTTTGCTTTTTATTGTTTTCTCACTGCCGAAGAATTTCACAAGATTTTGTCCTATTTCAAAACATGACTCAAAACTTTACGCACGCGCGTTTCGCTTTTATCTCAGAGTAGATTAGATCCGTCAAAACGAACTGTTTGCGTCGCTCGCTCGTAAGCAACTAAAATGACGCAGTCGCTGGTCGCAGCAACCAAGCGCAAGAGAGGCCCGTAAGCACACACACAACTACGCAGCCAAACTCACACTCATCGCCTTGAAGCTGGTTGTGCAAGTGAGCGCGATGTATAAAATTATTACTGCATTGCACTTTAGAGTGAGACCGCAACAGCCAGCCAGGCTATGGCCTGTGTGGGTATGTATTTGTGTGTGTGTGTCGATTTCAACATTGTGGTTGAAATTGAATGAAAAATATAGCAATCAATGTTTTGGTTGAAAGAGCTTCACAGGCCATTGAAAGAAGAGATGTTCGCAATGCAGTCGCAAAATCAGAATATTCGATGAAAACAAGCTCCCTAAAATATAAATTATCGATACAGCAAAGTCTGAAAGTTATATTTTTTATTTTTATTATATTAAACTTGTTACCACCTTGTTATGTTATACAGGATTCCGAAATGTTTTCCTAGCCACATATTAACTAGAGTTGAAGTAATGTTATACCACATTTTTCTACAATTTTTGAAATAATGACTAAGCAACCCTTCAGGCTCTGGAGTTGTCAACTCCACCCTTGACACTTTCCGCACAATTTGGCAACAGGACACTGGGTCCTGCGGAAATAATAATTGCTATATTTACGCCAAACACAAAACGTCAAACATGGTCTAATGATGGCAACAAACAATTTGGGCTGCAATTACGCGAGCTGCTCGATAAACAGCTGCTGGCAATGGCCAAAAGGGACAACAACAACAAATAGAATGTCAATTAAAAAGAACGCACTTCCGTTTGCCACATACCAAGCAAATAAACCCCCACACATACGAGTACAAGCACTCAATGCATGAACCGCTTTTCAAATTGAAAGCCGAAAACAGCTACAGCTCTAGCTATGGCAACATAAAAAACCGGCAACAACGGCCTTGCCAAGGTTGAGTGAGCAAGTAGCCAAAAAAAAAAAAACACAGAGAAAAGAGCTATAACACAAAGCGGCCACAACAAGCAATGTTGCTTCTTGTGCCAAGAAAGAGCGCCACAGTTGGAGTAAAAGAGCGGGAGAGAGCACGGCTAACTTCTCCGAAACAGCTGCTGCGGTTAATAGCACAAAAGCCGCTTAGAAGCTCAACGGGCTCTCAGGTAGCGACGCATGCGTTCGAAATGGGCTCAGCTTTTCTGCTAAAAGATACGTCTAGGGTGACCAGGCTGCGCACAGATTTGCTCCATTTACATTGTAGGCTGCAGCGACAGCTGCTAATTAGTTGTCGCTTTTCTATTTTACCACCAAATTCCATGACTATTTTCCCTCTCCCTGTTCCCACTCCTCTGGACAGCATCTTGCCATCATATGTCGGCCATGACAGTTGCAGATTGGCTTCAGTTTCTCTTTATTCTTACCAATAAGTTGTGAGTCGTTTGTTATTTGTGCGTGTGTGTGCCCTTTGCCCATTGTCTGGAATTGGGAAATGTGTGGATTTTTTTTTTGTTTCCTTGCTAAAGGAAATGGCGAATAGCAGCTGTTCAAGGAACAATGCGCCTATTGACAGTTTTGGGAAAGAGTGGATTTTTTTGCGTTTGGTGTGAAAGTTGGTAACACTTGGAAGGCAGAATAAAAGACCAGGAATATATTATACTATATTATGACGACAAAAAACCAAATTACGATGTCTGGCTGTCCGTTCTGAAAGTAGGGGTGTAGTACAGGTTTGAAGCAAATTTGGCTAAATAAATTTTCAATCAAGCATTAATTTGCCTAATTAGTAGTTCAAGATCAAAAGCCCAGCGCTGATGTAACTTTACGACGAATTAACTTTTACCTGAGCCATAAACGATTCCCCTCTCTTTTTCAACAGACTTGAAGGCGTGCGCTGGTCCATTAATCTTGCACAAACATTAAACACTAAATATTTAAGCAGCAACACAAACAAGACGACAGTATTTAATATTTGTGGCTTTCGTTGATTGCTTGGCTGGCTTATCAAACGCCAGTTGCAAGATGCAGACCCGCAATCTTCTTGTCAGTTGGCGGCTAGTCAGTCAGTCAATCAGTATGTCAGTCACTCGTATGGACCCACATCATAGCCCCGGCTGCTGAGAGTAGCTGAAAAGCCTCTGCTGTGGGTCAAATGCAGTAGTCGAAGGCAGTAAGAGTTTATAAGTATACACATACATATACATATATTGATGATTTGCATTCTAAGGGTGTGTCTCGAATGCAGCATGAGGCAGAATTTTTTGTATTTTTTTTTAAATTTTCTCTGCCTTTGCTGTTTCATTTGAAAACATTCTTATCTAAATTCTTGTAAACCAAGTTGCTTGTTGTCGTTTGTTGTTGTTGTGGCCCAGCGAGGTACATAACAACAGTTTTTGTTTATAAGCAAACACTTTTTTGTTTTACAAATCAACACCTCGGGTATCAATTACTGAACTCTGGCCAAGCATGTAGAAGACAGAGAGAGAGGGAGAGAGACAGAAACTGCAACTGAAGCAGCATGAATCATGGACCTGGGTTCAGATCCGCTTAGAGTCGCTTTATCTACACTAATTAAAGTGTGACCGAGCAAAAGAGCGACCGAGCGACTGGCAGGCGGACGGACTTACGAGTATGTACGGGTCTGGCCACAGCATGCCTGCACAAATGTGAATTCTCTACGCTATTTATTTATGATCTTTTTTTATTTTTCTGTTGCCAAAGGAGCGCACACTCTGGGCAACCGCACACGCCGAGTCTCAGCTCTTGCATTAGGCATCTTGGCCTTGTTTCGCATTAGATGCGCATGGTTAGCAGTTACGAGTAGCTATGTGAATAGTTGATGGTTTGCTAAAAATTCCAATAGTCCTGGGAAGAGTTTATGTATTTGTTGAACTCAAAGCTGCCGAACCACTTCATAATTGAATTAACCCAACATATTACTAACAGCTCTGGATGGCCTTAAGACGTACACGATTTAGTAGTTATGAAGAGGTAGGTAGGAACTTAAGAGGATGGAGCAAATGAAGGGGAAAACGAGTTAAAGAGTTATGTGCAAAGAGAAATAAAGTGTGTAGCATCTAGAAATGATTTCCTTAATGTCCATGCAAAGAAATATAAACCGAGGCTGAAAACACATTCTGCCACTGACACATTTTACAATCGCATTCCAATCAATTTAAAATCAAAAGAAATATTCAATTCTTAAACTCTATGTATGTATGTATATTGAATAGAAATCTGATTTTAAAATAAAATCCATGTTCATTGAGGAAAAGTCTTCATTTGATCAAACACTTGCTTTTAAAACATTGAAAATTCAAATAATAACAATGTGTCCGTAGAAATAATATAATATTTGTTGACGCGATTAATAATAAATTGTAATATCATGTACTTAAGAGCTAAGAAGATATTTTAGTGTTGTGACATGGTAGAAGAAGCATGGCAGCCCCAATAAGTATATCTCCATGAATTCATGATCTGTTTGTCCGTGTGAGTGAACGCAAGGATCTCAAATATAAAACTTGGAAGCTTATATTCTTGTAGGTCCAAGAAAGGGCAAGATTAAGTTGTTTCCAAATACAGCTCCTGTCCCGCGCGATTCGTGATTTTGCATAGCTTGGACTTTTGTATTTGTATTTAGAAATTTCATACTGTTAATCTTAGGGGCTTTTAGGACAAGTTACATCTAAAAGGAGTTGTATGTAGTCTTAACGAGATTGTCTTTAAATAGCAATGAAGATGATATCATTGTTCGCTTCATTATTGCCATCATTTTTGACTGCAAGGCCTGTGGCCTAAAGCGACGAGGCGTGACTTCATTCTTAGACACCATTCCAAGATCTATGAGTATTCTAATGCCAAGACAAACACCTGCCACGTTTCCCGGCCACAAAATTTGACAAAGAGCTGAAGGTATGTAAATAAGTTGTGTTTTTGGTATTTCGGGCCAGAGTGAGTTACGTTCCAGGCGGGTTCTACACGCAAGCGCCGTCGGGAAATTATGCAACGGAAACAGGTGCAGGACACAAGGAGGGCAAAGAATAAGCAAACATTGAGGCAAGTGGCTCTAATTAAACACGAGAAACGCGAGCTGCACGCGTAAATATTTCGTAGAGCGTGGAAAATTGAGGCATGAACTCGTACGTTTGTGGAGCATTTCTGAGCGGGTGCCTATCTAGGTTTCATTTACGCATTGGCGTGACTCAATAGGCCACTGAATGAAATGTATGTTTTAGTTTTGGTGTCATACCCGTACTGCAGTGACTAATCGCCCATGACACGTAAAAAGTGTGGTAATACTTGTATGTAAAATTCTTGCAACTGCTCGCTGCTCGATTTAGTTGGCAGCAATTACAAAATGTAAGACATTTATTACAAGTGCGACTGCTACCCAAGACCCCGCGGGAACTCGGTTTGGAGCAACTAGTATGCTCCAAATGGCTCCGAACGTGCTGCAATGCGCGGCGCATGCGCAACGGCTGGGCATTAAATTGGAGTCCGAATTCTCGGTATGAAAAGTTCAGGCAATGAGTGTGAGAAAATTGTTTGTCGAGTTGGTTTGGATTGCGTCGAGCCATATGCCGCCGCCTCTACACCAAGTTGCACCAAATTCAGTCAAGCCAAGTGCTGAATTGTGTGCGAGTTTTCCAGTAAAGAAAATACTGCACAGTTGCCGAGGAAAAACAATTTTCTGCACAATTGTTAAAGCGCTCAGCTCTTTAGTTTTCTTTTTGCCCAATGTCTGGTTTTTATTTCTCATTTTTCAACTTCGTTGCTTCTTTCTTTTTGCAACACTTT